CCCGTGTCCCACAGGTGGAAGAGGCTTTGGCAGTGCTGCAGGCACACCAGGCCACAGAGCTGAGGACGGTGAATGTGCTCTGAAACCAGGTGGGTGGCTCGGGGTGGGGGCGGGGGGGGGACGGACGGAGGCGGAAGCAGCTGAGCCCAAGGGAAGCTGGGAAAAACTAGTCAGGGACTGACTCTCAGAAGCTGTGTAGCTCACTTTCTCTGAGGCACCAAAGAGTTTGGGGGAAGCTGTAAGGATTAAAGGAAAGGGACAGACGGTAGGATTAAGAGTATCGACCACCGTGCAAAGTACGGGTGTCCTCCTACCGGCTGCCCTGCCTGGCCTCACTGGGGATAGGCCAGGCTGCCGCTGCGCGCTGGCCGGCTTCACGCTCCCTGACGGGAGGCCTGCTTTGGCCCCCCACCTTCTTAAGGTGAAGGCCGCGAGTCTGCTCTATGTCAGAAACATTTATTCCTACCCTTTCATCCCCAGAAAATGGAATCCTCACTCCCTTGGCCGACAAGAGAACGGCGTTTCCTGCTCCTGGCTCGCCGTCCCTATGAACCGTAACTTACCTCCCCACGGGGCCATATGTGCACTGGAGCCCCGGATGTGGGATGAAGGCCAGTCATCCCGCCAAACTATCACCTGTTGCTTTGTGCATTAAAAGTGCTGCAAACTCTGTCTTGTCTCCCAGGAGGCCTTCTTGTGTCTGAGGGAGGTGGGGCAAAGCAAAGGGTGGGGGTTTGACTGGGTTGGGGAATTGCCTGGAAGGAACAGAAACCCAGAGAGTGCTGAAGTAGGTGTGTACAGCAGAGCAGATCCGCACCCAGCAGTGGTCCTCACACAGCACCGAGAGAAGGAGCGAAAGCTACAGGTGCCCGTGTCTGACGCACATGGAGGTTTCTGGATGCCTGGCTTGAGTGCCCTGCAGCGCAGGTATACACCCAGAAACACCAACTGCTTCTGGGCTCTGGCTGGCTGAGTGATTGTGTAACATAATTCTAGAAGAAACCACATAGAATCGCCTTCGGATACCTTCCCAAGTCATGATTTTACCTTCTATGTGTTCATTAGCAAATCAAGATGCTTGCCTTCTAGACCTTGGGAAGAGAAAGTCAATTGTGAATGGATGTCACCACTAAGCCTGCCTCCCATCAGTGAAGAGTCTTGCCTGAGAGGTGACAATAAAAGGGGTACAGCTCCCCACTCTGGTCCCTTGGCCATGTGCATGGGTCTCTCTGTGAACCCTAAAATCTGCTTAGCTCAGAGGTCTGTGCACTCATCCTTCAGAGGTCAGAAGCTGTGCTACCAGCTGAATGGTGCTCAGCACTCCTGTGACAGGAAGCAAAGGGACAATGAAATCCCTCTGCTCTTAGAGAGTCCTCAAACTGCTTGCTTCTCCGTTAAGGGGAAAACAGTTTGGGCGCCTGGGTGGCTCCGTCGGTTAAGCATCTGCCTTCAGCTCAGGTCATGATCCCGGGGTCCTGGGATCGAGTCCCTCATCGGGCTCTCTGCTCTGCAGGGAGTCTGCTTCTCTCTCTGCCTGCCACTCCCACTCATTCTCTCAATTTCTCTCTCAAAAATCTTAAATTCCGCCCCCCCCCTTTTATTTCTAACTGGGACACAGCCCAGGAAAGCACTTTCTGCTCCCGGTCCTCACCCTCTTCTCCCAGCTGAGGCCTTTACAAATGTCTGTTTTGTCTGCTGGGACTGCCTTTCTGCCCTCTTCACCAGTTAAACTCCCACGTTAGAACTCGATGCGAGCTTTACTTCCTCGGGGACCCCTTTACCCCCAAGTCAGGGGGGAAAGCGCTGTGTGATGGCTCCTCTAAGACGCGCAGGCTGCAGTCTGTTCTGGGGTTCTCTGATTACCTTCTTCCCTGCCCGCCACAGCCTCAGCCGTCCGAGAGCAGGGACCGTGTCGGTTACTGTGGTTTCCCCCGCACGGTACACAGAGCCTGACCCATGCACACATGCCAGGAAGTCGGTTCAGCGAGGGCACAAGTGCTCAACACGCTGCAGCTCTTTATTCCTGCAAAGTTCCAAGCACAAAGCTGAAAAAGCACACACGGAAGCACAGCAGACGTTTATGTACCAGAAAGATGTTTAATGCAATAGCTTGAATACACAGTTCAACAAAATCAGTCTATTTTTAGTTCAAATTAACTTCGCATGACAAAGAACCAAGAAGCTGGGAGGGGACCACTGTTGAGGTCAAAAGGAGGTCCCTGCCCAGAGTGGAAGGACACAGACTTCAAGAAGGCCTTTCTCTCCACCCCACCTTCAGGAGGGGCCACACCTCCGGACTCTTAAAGCCGCTCAGGCACACCTCCCCGCCGGAGGCGGCAGCAGCCCAGAGCTACAGACAAGGCCACCCGAGCGTCAGGATCGTGTGTCCCTACCAGAGGAGGGCCCAGCCAAAAGGCACTGGAGCTCCGAACACCAGGAGCTCTGCCACGGACTGGGTGGGGATGGCAGCCCTGGAGAACCAGCTCAACAGGCTGCTTTGGGCTCTAGTTTACCCCTCCCCCACTCCGACCCCCGCCCTCAGTTTGCTCAGGTGCACCACAGTGAGACGGGTCTGGGGAAGCTCGGAGGGCAGCCGTGGGGAGCATGCTTGGGGCAGGGGCAGACCGAGTGCTCTGCGAGCTGTCCGGGGCAGGCGCCAGGGGGGACGGTTCCAGCAGAACAACATCCGGGGGTTTTGTTTGGTTTTTTCGTTGTACTACTCTGAGCTTAATTTTGAACAAAGCAAAGCCTCTTAAGGGCTGGGAAGCCATCACCTCTGAGTGGCCTCGGAGCTCGCTCGGGGGCATGCTGGGTCCCAGGAGCAGGCACAGAGGAGGGAGCTCGGGCAGAGGCTTCCCGCTAACCTTCTGGGGCTTTAGTTTAAACTCTGGTTAACTTCCTGCCGCAGCTTCCGGGCGGCGCCGTTCCTGGGCTCAAGCTGCAGAAGGCTGCTGATGTCTGCAAAGCTGGATTTGTAGTCCTGGGAGGAGCGACAAGGGCGTGAGGGGATGGAGACCGGACTGAGGTGCGCCGGGGCTGCCGGGGCACACAGGGTCTCGAACCCCAGCCTGCGGGCCTGCCCTGGGCCACCACCCGGGCGCCCCTGGGAGGGAAGGGACGCGCCCCCGCCCGCGCTCTGGGGGTGCCACCCCAGGCACAGGCGTCTCAGCGGGGGCCCGGCAGTCAGGCTCTTTTTACCTCGAGTGCCTTGTAGGCTTGCGCTCGTCGGTACAAGGCCTTCACGTTCTTTCCATCCAGCCGGAGCGCTTCCGTGCAGTCCCTCGCTGCCTCCTTGTACTGCTTCAGGGCCAGATGGCAGAGCGCTCTGACGGCAAAGGCCGTTGGGAGGGTTCGGTCACTGCTTGGCGGCCGCCCACCAGCCGTGAGCTGGGCTGAGCGGTGGCCTGGGAGGCGGCAAACGCCGCTCCGGGCCGGTGACCGTGCGGCCTCCCCCCCCCCCCCCCCCGGCCCCGCGCGGCGAGGCCGGCCCCGTCCCCACAGCCGCAACCCACCGGCCCGGCGCGGAGGGGCGAGCGGACCGGTGCCAGCCCCGGGGGCGGACGCTCCACGGCCCGACCGTCCTGACCGCGTGGCCTGTCCCGCGGGCCACCTCCCGCTCCCAGCCTGCGCTCTTTTGCTCCTGAACGCCGCCCCCGGCGGATTAAGAAGTCATCTACCATTCAGTGCTGGACCCCGAGCCCGGGCACGCGGACACGGCGGCGGGCAGACGGCAGGGGGTCTGCAGCTCAGCCGGAAACGCGCCCCAACCGAGAGGCACCGGTCAGCGGCTACGTGGCCACAGAGCAAACGTAGCAAAATGTTAACGGGGAACTCAGACGGTAGGGGTATGAGTGTCCACTGTACAGTTCTTTCAACCTTACATTGTGAAAACTTTCATAATCATGGAAAAAAAAATAGCAGCACACGTCCATACAACAAAATGTTCTGCATCTACGGGGGGGAAAAAAGTGTGTACATCTCCCCCATTCTTTTCTCTGGAGATGGCCACTAAGAACAGGTGTCTTGGCGCTCCTGTAACTCCATCCACTCCACCTCACCATTCCCAATGGGAGCAGTATTCACTTAGTTGGATGAACCACAACTTATTTTGCCAATTCCTTATCTGGAGATATTATTTTCATCGCTTCCAGTTTGCTAATACGAGATGCTGCCATGAGCACCCTTGTGCGTAAAACTTAAGATGCCTACTGGGAGGAAGGGATGGGTCAGCAGATACGTGCATTTATAATCGTGACTGTCATTGCCAAAATGCTCTGCAAAGGACCCGTTCTCTTAGGCTCTATCAGTAACTTTCTATTTTCCTGTAACTGTACTAACCCTGGGGTCAATCTTTAACTTCAGTCAATAATGGAAGAAAACAAGGTCCATTTTAATGTAGTTCCTTTAAATATGGGCAAAGCTCAGTATCTTTACATAAGGCTTTTTAACCTCATGAAATCAAATTTACCTTTCCTTTAACGACCTCTCTGGTCCCTATCCCCCACCCCACAACGATTTTATTTTAATACTTTCCCCACTGCAAGATAATTAACCCATGCACTCTTCTACAACTTGGTGGTTTTATTGTCTACCTTTGAAACTGTGATCCACTTAGAATTTACTTTAAAATACAGAGTGAGGTAAGGATTCAGGTTTATTTTTAATTTTAAATGAGACTCTTCTGAAGGTCCATTCAGGGCAAGCTGTAGGTGCTGGGCACCCGAGTGATATCCCCACTCAGGTACCAACTGCACAGAGAGAAGGGAAGGAAGCCAAAGACGAGGAGCTGGTACACAGAGCTGCAGAGCCACAAGGCGGAGCATTAAAATGGCATCCAGGATGTGGTATAATTTCAGCCACAATGGATGGAAAATTCAGTTTTGTGTCAAGTTATCAGTCCTCGAAATTAAATTTATAAATTCAATGTAACCACAACCAAAAGCCCACCAAGATACTTTTTGGAGTCATCAAAATGATCCTAAGGTTTAGCTAGAAGAACAAACCTGGGAAAATAGCCAGTGATGCTCTGATTAAGAACAAGGAGAAGACCAGCCCTACAAGATAGTATAAAGCACTAATAATTAAAACAGTGTGGCATAGGGGCGCCTGGATGGCTCAGTCATTAAGCATCTGCCTTCGGCTCAGGTCATAATCTCAGGGTCCTGGGATCGAGCCCCGCATTGGGCTCCCTGCTCCGTGGCAAGCCTGCTTCTCCCTCTCCCACTCCCCCTGCTTGTGTTCCCTCTCTGTCAAAAAAAGAAAGTGTGGCAAAAACATACTTGTATGAAAAATTGTATTTAAACAAAACAAAGCATTGTCTTGAATGTATTAAAAATCCAGGAAAACAGGCTAAAAGAGATCTCTCTCAGTATGAAAGAAGTGGGTCCAGAGGGCCCAGAGATGGGGGCATCAAAATGCTGCAGCAGAAACCTAGAACAAACGGGCAGCAGCCCTTCCTTCCGGTGAGCCTGGCAGACTGAGGCATCCCTGGTCCAATCAGCCAGTAAAACCACAGGTCTCAAATTCCAAAATCCACGCTTCAAAACGAAAAGTCCTCTTTTGAACTTACTTGACAGCAAAACCTGACCTGCACAGGCCTGAGGTTACATGGAATTTCCCCGTGTTTCAGGCAGAAATGTTAACAATGAACTGCATCCACCGCCCAGACCCTGTGGGAGTATTATGTGATCCAATATACGGACCATATTACCTTACTCAGATCTGGAACACATTTTATCCCAAGAATTTTGGATAGGGAATGGCAAGACTATAGTAGATCCAAGATTTTTGAACTCAAGAGTAATTATGTGTATGTTAGCAGGGCGGGAGAAACAATTTATAACATTTTGTAGTAAATCTTTTATAAGCAAGATTTGGATCAGATAAGGTCCCTTGCTGAATGTTTCAAGCTTCTGACAGTAAAACTAAAAGATCTCATCGGAGCCAGGTTGCAAGTCTGTCTCCACCATTTACTGACCGGGTGAGCAGAGGTAAAGCCCCTCTGGCTCTGAGCTTCTGATTTCTTGACTTTAAAAGGGGAAGACCACCTACCACCAGTACGCCCGAGTGTGTTGCAAAACCGTAACTCCCACCCAATAAAGGAATAGTGACCCCACTGTCGGTGGAAAGAACCAGCATTCATGTCCAGCAGCTTGTGGTGCAGGGTGTTCAACTGCGCCACAGGTCACATCCTTCAGGCTAGACGGGACCATCTCTCTTGCTCCCAGGCCAGGCGATAGTCCACACCCTGGGCTCTGTCCTGGTGCTGAGACGGTGCCAACCCTTCTAATAGGAGGGTCCGGGGAACCCGTGGGGCTGGGGCAAGGGGGAGGGCTACGAGACACATGTTGAGGCTGTGTTTGTATAAGCACACCGCTCTTATTTATGGAGTGTGCTCATTTGGATGGTTCATGAAAACCTGAGGGGGAGGGAGGCTGACAGAGCCCAGGCTCCACGTTGGCATTGCTCAGTTTCTTTTTTTTTTAAAGATTTTATTTATTTATTTAACAGAGAGAGAGCACAAGCAGGTGGTGTAGCAAGCAGAGGGAGAGGGAGAAGACTCCCCGCCAAGCAAGGAGCCCGATGTGGGGCTCGAGCCCAGGACCCTGGGACCACAACGCGAGCCGAAGGCAGTCGCCCCAACCGAGCCACCCAGGTGCCCTGGCATCGCTCAGTGTCTATTCCTTTAAGAGAGTGAATGCCACTGGCCACACCTGCCTCACGGTGACCAAAACAACTGGGAATGCCTATTTTAAGCTGCGACACACTGACTAAGCGCTAAGAATGAAGAGCCCGCCCCAGTCCGAGAGAAGACTACGGACAACAGCCGACGGCCTGAAATCCCCCAGGCCAGCGGCTGGTGGCAGGTACCTGTTGCTGTATGTGGCGGACTCCATGTCACTAAAGGAGAGGCTTTCACTGTACTTCTCAATAGCTTTCTTATGGTTTCCCTTCTTTACAAGCTCATTGCCTTCTTCCTTCAGAACTCTGGCTCTCTCCACATCCCCAGCAGAAGACGCTAGATGCAAATTCAGAAGAGGAAAAAGCCATGGAGCAGGTGCCCAAGATCCATGAGGCCTCGCCAGCATCGGTTCTTCCACGTCGTCTGCGACCCTCTCCCCCCGCCGCCCCGAGACTTCCTATACTGCTCTGAAGCAGCGCCCCCGGAGGAAGGAGCCCCCCTCACAAGGCTTCTGGGAAATTAAACAGGTTTTCAGTCAGAGGAGGTTGGGGACTCCTGATGGAAACACACACACAGACATGCAAGTAAGAAGAGATATGTGGTAAAGAGCAAGCTGGGTTCTAGCCCCAGCACCGCCCTTAGTAGCCAGGGACCTCGGGTGACCTGCCTAAGTCTCTGGGACCTCAGTTTCTCTGTACGCTGGGGCACTAGCTACCCCACCCAGGGCTAGCGTCGGGACAAAACCTGAGAGTACACCACAAAGTGCGGAACACCCTATAAACTTAAAGCAGGAGATAAATATTTAAATAAGCAAGCATCTCAGAAAGAAATGGTGTAGCTCCCGGGCTTGCAGAAGAGCCCACCGTTCCCCATCTCTGTTTGGTCTGAGCCTGCACCTTCCCTCGCCTACCCCATGCCACTTGGCCCCAGCCTTGACAGACGGAGACACAAGGTGAAATCTGGGCTGCTCGCCTGGCCCTCAGGTCCTTCACTGCGCAGCCGCAACTCAATGCTCTAGCCCCAGTTTTTAGATCACCGGGTTTCTTTAATTTTTAAAAAACGATCTCTATAAAATCCTGAATATCTGCAACATGGGTAAGGTTTTAGGAACAAAACTAACACCCTTGCACTCATCCCTCACCTTAAGAAATAGAACCTTTACTAAGACCTTTAAAGCTCTGTGGGGCCCCCTCCCCAAGTCAATCCACCCCTGGAGGAAACCATGATCCCCCATCCTGTGCTTCCTTCCCCCATTTTCTTCTTGGTAGCTTAACTATATATGATAGTTCCTACAAACCATTTGCTGTTCATTTTGTTTTTAAATCTCGTATAAAAGAATAAGTAATTCAAGTATTCCTCTATGACTTGGCTTTGTTTCTTCCCCCTCGGCGCCGTATTCCTCAGATTCGGCTGTATTGATGCATACCCCTGTAGTTCGTTTGCACTGCTGTGGTTCGGCTCATTCATCCCTTCTACTGAGAGCCCTGCGCTGTTTCCAGTTTTGTTGTTTGCTGTTGCAAACACCCTGCTGCGAACCTTTCTGCGCGTCTCCTGCGGGGGGCTGCCGGGTCCACACCCTTCGGCTTTGCCCCCGGCTCTCCACACACCACGCCGCAGGCGCGCGGACTCCCACTGCTCCCCAGCGATACCCACGCACTGCATTCTCTAGCTCTCTCCACCGTCTCTGCCAGAGATGCCCTTCCCTTCCCTCGCCCAGCTGAAGACCGCCCCCCCTCAGCCCCCCTCAACGTCCAGCTCAACCTGTCACCTCCTCCAGGAGCCTTTCCCTGACTCCTCCAAGTGCACACATGTTAGTTCCTGTTTCGAACTCCCCAAACACTAAAGGCTCTGTGTCACGCTGTTTGGCACAGAGCTGGAAAATAGATGGCTCAGTGACTCTGAAAGAATGAAATACTTGGTAGGTGCCCTGAAGCCATTTTCGTTAGCGCCCCACATTTCCATTCTGGAGAAGAGTGGGGGGGACACTTACCAGGTTCCCACAAACCAGAGTGAATGCGACCCACGGCCGGACACGTTCCCTCCCAGGAAGGGGGGGGGGTGACCCTGCCCTCCACTACCACCCACAGCAGGCTCCAGCCCTCAGACCTGCTGCACCTCCGCTCCTCAACACCTAGCTCACTGGGCCCAGCTAATTCCCTGGGGCGCCGGTGAACCTCTGCCTGAAGAACGGCCCCTCCATTTTACACGGTCGAGGTGAACAGTCTCCTGTTTTGGGGCTACCTGGCTTTGATCGCCCGTCCCTATTCCACCTCCAGGGCCTCATGTGGTGTGTGTGTTCCTGGGGAAGCGTCACCCTCTCGCTATGAAGGTGGGGGCAGATGGCTTAGGGCGGAGGTCATCACAAAATCTCAGCCCCCGGTCCCAGTGACCAGTTCCCAGAGAATGGCCTGTGACCAAACAGGCCAGAATACACCGAGACTGTATTTAAAGGGATTTAAAGGAAAGAAACCCTCTCTTTCTTAGGGAGCTCCCAGAAAAAAAAATCACCTTTTTCTCTTCCTCTGGGCCATGAGAAATGGCCTATAGGGATGAGGCCAGGAACTACTTTATAGCTGTTTTACCACTGGGAGGGAAGACGGCCCCAAGACAAAGCAGACACACCAGAGAAGAGCTGAGAGGAGTACCGAGGAATGGAGTCCGAATCTGATAATGTAGTGAGCTGCTGGAGCAAACCTTGCCTGAACCTGAACTCAGAACTTTCAGTTACATGAACTAATACGTTCTCTTTGTATTTTTACCGTGTTGAGTTTTCTGTCCTTGCCACCATAAACCATCCTAGATCATCCATCCCCAGTGCTGCCAGATAAAAAAGAAGGGAACTAAAGCTGTATACCTATGAGCCACGCTGAGCGTCCAACGTGCCTTCTCTATCTCTGAATCCGGCCAGTGGTGGGACGGCTTTCGCATCGCCCTCAGGATAGAATTGAGAAGACTCTAAGAGGTGAAGACTTTTTGTTTCATAGATAATTTTTAGAGCTCAGCTTAAGCAAGGCCAATTTTTACAGGACGACTCTAAAGGAAGTGGCCACGGGGAGACTGTAACACTCTGGGCAGGAAGTCACAGCTTACCTCTGCTCTTGGAAGTTGTGGTTTCTCTGAATTTTCTCTTAGCCATCTCTTTGTGGTACTCCAAAGGCACGGAATCCCACCTCTTCTGAGCTGTGACAGGCACCAAGGGGATAGAGGGCAGCTTCAGGCGCCACCCGGGCCCCAGCGAGTCCACGAGAGCTCTGGTCATTCTGGAAAGGCGGACAGAATTACAGGGAGGTTTCCAGCTGGGTCAAGAAGATACCCCCCCTCGTAAATCCAGAGGGGGTGTAGAGAGCCACCATCCCTCTATAGCCTTCCGACACACAGCAGGAAAGGAACAGATGTCTGCCACCATGACACGCGCGCCCTGCCTGGCCCTCACTTGGCCACACTCCGTTAACTCCAAAGTGGGGACGGCTGCTTGTTAAGGGTACTTAAACCTTACCCCCAAAGGACCACACATGCCCCCAAGAAAGGATCACATGTCTTATATTTTCTCAGTGGATCTATTATAAGGCCAGGCAAACACCTGACCTTTGATTAATGCTCAGAGATCTTTATAAAATACAAATCCTGCGGCATTCTCAAATTTTGAACTCCTCCAGCGGTTCCCACTTCCCTAGGCTGACAGGGCCTGAGATCTGGTGCGGCCCCCTCCCCCCGCTCCACTTTTACGGGGAGCCGCATTCCCTCTTGATCCGTATGTTCCAGCCTTTGCCCATGCTTTTCCCTCTACCTGGAATGATCTCTTCACTCTCCATCCCCCCCTCCTGGGCCCAGCTAACTTGCTTCAAATGTTGCTCAGGGACCACGTCCATTTGGTTAAGAAATTTCCAGCACCTAGCACATCACCTGATACCCGCCCGGGGCCCAGTAAGCATGTGCTCGATCAGTGAATAAAGCCAACTGTATGCTTTTTCTGCCCCAACCACTGCGCTCCCGTGCGACTAGAAGGGCAGCGTCCCAGGTGGCGATCACTACAAACTCACGGCCGCTGACGAAGCCCTCACAGCTGTTTTTCGGACTGGCACAGCTATTTCAAACCTCTACCCTCCTCAGCCCGGCTTCCTTACCCTCCTCCTTTTTCAGGGCGAACTTCCAGGTCCCACAAATACAAACCCACCTGCGTGGGCACCGAATCCTTCCTAGGTCTCTCCCGTCACAGAGGGAGAAGTGAGGAGGCCAGTCTCTCCGCCTCAGCTCTGGGTCTCACCTCGTCCCGCCTCCGTCAGGAACCACCACCAGCCGCTCTCCTCTAGCTTCAGCCTTCCTCTCTACCGACTCCAAGAGGCCGCACTGAACCGTTTCCTCACTTAGTAAGACCCCCCCCCGCCCCCGGAGACCCCACTCTGCCATCGCAGCTGGACTCCTCTGCCTCTTCGCGGCCAGGCTTCTAGAACCCACTGCCACCCGGGCTTCTGACCCGCCGCATGCTTCCGTCACAACCACCAGTGACTCTCTTTCTTAAACTCAGAAGTCCACTAACTCATTGGAACACCTGATGGGCGTGAGGTTTTCATCCTTCTGGAAATACCTCTTCCCTAAAGGCTCCGAGTTTCCTCCTCCCCTCCAGCGGCTGTAGAAAATGCTGCCATTTTCTAAGCGCCACCCTCTTCCCCCGGCTCACTTGCTTTGGGGGGTCTTTTTTTTCCTCCCACAACCTCAACCCACCTCTATGCTGATGACCTTCGAATCCATAGGTCTGCCTTGTATTTGTCTCTTTTTGCTCCAAAACCCACGTAAATACCAACCACTGTCCTCACGTCTCTTGTCTCTGGTCCCCTCCAACTCAACATGTCAGCCACCAGGATGTTTCTCCTATTTTTCCCTTCTCACCACCCCCAACACTCGGATTCATTGAACTACTACCTAACTGTCCCCAGAACTGGCCCCACCGTCCTCTTCCCACCGTCTCCACCACCTGAGCTCGCGCCCAGCCCTTCCGACTCTGCTCTCCTTCACGTCATCCTGCAACACGGCAACCAGTGAGCTTCCCTCTCAAATCTGCTCACACTGCGCCCCTGCTGAAGACCCTTTCACAAAGCCTCACCGTGCCTGGATTAGGTCCGGGCCCTGTGTGGTCGGGCCTCACCTCACATCCGAGCTGCGCTCCTCGCCCGCAGCGCCAAGCGACATGGGACTCCTCACAATACCTGGACCACATCACCCCGGCTCACCCGGCACAGCTGCCCTTCCTGCCGCGCTAGCCCCAGATCTCTTCGTTTCTCAGCCTCAGCTCACCTCCTCTGGGAAGTCCCGACTGGCTTCCTCCTGCCCCCCGGGGCAGGTTAGGTGCCCCTTTCTGCCCCCTCAGCCCCCTGGGCCGCCTCCTACCGCAGCACTCACCACACTGTGGTGCACGTGGCTGTGACTGACTGGGGCTCCCCACGAGAGCGGGGGTTCCATTAGGGCAGGAAGAGCTATGTGTTGGGCATCAGCCCAGGACCTAGTGCAAAGTCGGGCACGCAGAAGTGCCAGATTCTGTTGAATGACTGAAAGTAAAAGGAGGCAGAGAGAAAACCAGTCAAGCTAAAAATGATACACTAAACACATGCTACAAAGTCCTGTGAAGGGTTTGCTGTGAGTGTAGCGTTTGGCTTTCTAGCAGCCCATGCAAAGAGGGGAAACATGATCAGTACACAAACGAGGGCAGCCACGAGGCGGAAACAAAGCACCACTCAGAAACTCAGAACAAAATGGCGCCTGACGGGCCTCGTGAAGGGGTCACAGTACCACAGGCCGACGCATTCCTGCAAACAGCACCCTACAGCCTTGTGTCCTGGCTGCCTGCACCTGTGTCCCACTCTCCCCGCTCTAGTTAGGTCTGTGAAGCAAGTGGGGTCTTCCCCAGGGCACCTGGCACAATCCCTTACACAGAGCTCAGTACCTTATTACCCCGGTAAGGAATCGGAGCAGCTGGACCATTGATCCATCAGTCCCCTCACTCTGACCCCTTAGGCCCCTGCTAACCACAACAGCGGACTGTCCTTCCGCACTTTCCCCACATGCTCAGTAGGTCTCGGGGGACCCCCAGGAGATGACCAAAGCCATGGTCCCGAGTGAGTCCAGAGACAGCGCCTGCAGAGTCAGGCTCACCGGCTGATGCCTTCCAGGGCCGACGCCACACTGTCATCAATCTGCAGCACGGTCTTGTAGTCCACATAGGCCAGGGGGTACTTCTCCAGGGCCTCGTAGGCCGATGCCCGCCGCAGCAGGGGCTTCATGCTGAAGGGCATCAGGGCCAGTGCTCTAGAGCCAGAGGAAGAAATGTCACCGGCTGCTGAGTCACCACCCCCCCGCAGCTCCTTCTAGGAAGGGTCATCTGCAGCATTCAGTGTACAGGAGATCATATCTGGCACAGAGACGCTGCTAAAAGTGTCAGACCTTAGCAGAGGGACTTTCTATCTTAGACCAAAATGGAGAAGGGACGATGGGCAGAAAACCACCAAGACTGTGAAATGTGTGCTCGTGCACCAATTTTCCAAGTCGCAATCCCCCCAGATCAAGAACAAGTGCCTGAAGCTTTCATTCTTCCATGTGTTTTTTTACAGAGTCCGACCCGGTGGGAGAAACAGGCTCCGCAGTCAGACGGAGTGGTGTTTGAATTCTACCTCTGCACCAGCCACGGGACCCCAGGCAGATCACCTTACGGCCTCAATTGGCTGCAACCCACTTCTAGCCTGGGCGGGACGGTAAACTTACCCCGCAGAGCGGTCATGAGCCCTCCGGGGAGGAAACCTGGTACGGGCCTGGTACGGAGCCACTGAGCACAGGCCCCACGAGCCTGCTCCCCTCTCCTCCTCCCTCAGCTACCACCAGGGCACAAACCTACGGCGACGCTGCAGATGTGTGTCAGCTCAGTGAGGAGGAGAGAAGGCGGTGTCAGACTGGCTTGCAGAAGAAAGAAATATGACAAACCGTTGAACACCTGTTACACCAGGTCATCGATGGATAACTTCTTCTCTTTGCTTTTTCTGCGGCGATTCACTCACCTCTGTCCCTCTTTCTTTCCCTCTCACACACATCCACCCAAGAAAACACCGGGGCGAGCCAGTCACTAGCCTGCAGCTCACTCTCATCCTCAGGTCCCCGATCCCACAAGGCCCGTAAGGCCCACCTCTAAGCCCCCACCTGACTCCTGCTCTTTTGGCAGACTCCGAAGACACAAGTCAGGGGCCGTAAGCACCAGGTACAGCCTCCTATCCTCGGTGAGCTGGTGACACTCAGGGACACGCCCTCCTTATCTGACGCATCTGTTAACTGCTGGGATTGACCCCAAGAAGAGAACAGGCCAGATGAACACAGCTTCCCCTCCGGAGGCCCTGAGGCCCCCGAGGTCACACCCGCCCACTTACGAAGTGCAGTCTTTGATGCAGTCCCTGCAGTTGCCATCCTTCAAGTGGCAGGCTGCGCGGTTAGCGAAGAGGACACTTTCTTCTTCGGGGTTCGAACAACCTGGCCAGGGGGAAGCAGAAAGTACGAGATTAACAGGGTGGGAAATGGACGCCCCGGGACTCCGGGGTGTATTTCGTACCCGGAGCTCTCTGGGCTTCCCGCTCAGGCTTGTTGGGTTGCCAGGTCTGTCACTGTCACATGGGAGCGAGAGCGCCAAGCTTCCCGCCACTCACGGGGAACCAAACACCTTCTCCTTCACTCACTCCAGCACTGAAGCTAGGACCAGGCCAAAGACAAAACATGAACCAGCTGACTTTTGCTCAAGGAGATCCGTGCCGTAACTGTGTGTTTGTGTGCGTGTGTGCATGCACGTGTGTGAATCTTGTTACAAAAAGCATGGAAACCCGATTAAGAGGGGTTCCTGAAAAAGGAAAAGAAAAATGTGATAAGGAGACTGAAGTCTCCTTCACTCTGAGAGACAGACTGATCCTACCTGGTTAAGTCAGAAAGGATTTTGCCAGGGAAGAGTCCTCTGGGTCTGGCAGGGCTATGCAGAACGTCATCAGGGGAAGGATTCAAGCGACCCGGCGTGGAGGAGAATTATCAGACACTTCTCTAAAGGCAATCCTTATCCTCAGGAATCACAGAAGCCGATGTCTTTTACCGTGTAGCCACAATGACTTTCAATTTTAAAAATAATTTTTCGGGGCACCTGGGTGGCTCAGTTGGTTAAGCGTCTGCCTTTGGCTCAGGTCATGATCCTGGAGTCCCGGGATCGAGCCCCTCGTCGGGCTCCCTGCTCAGCGGGGAGTCAGCTTCTCCCTCTGACCCTCGCCCCTCCCGTGCTCTCCTCTCACTCTCTCAGATAAATAAAATCTTTAAAAAAGTAATTTTTCAACCACTTCATACCCACTAGCATAAGCCATAAACGGAAAGCAAACAAACAAAACACCCCGAAAATTATTAAGTGTTGACTCCATAATTCCACTCCTGGGTATATACCCCAAAGAAGTAAAACAAACTCTTTTCTGAAAATTACGAAACATTTAGAAAACAGTAAAACAGATGCTTGACATCCACCCTTGGACTTGGCATACATTATACTTGTTTCCAACCTCTTTCATTTTCGAGATGGCTAAAGGTCCACTCATCCTCACCCTTTCCCTTTGCTTCCTCCCCAGACCCCCCAGATGCCAGCACAGTCTTGAAGCTGGCAGGTAACATCCTCCCGTATTCATGTTTGCCCACTTCTATTACATATGCATTCACAGGGAAGAGAATATACCATTTTATATCTTTCAAAGCTTTCTGAAACTAGGCGGCACCCTACTCCCTATCCTTCCGCAACTTACTCTTTTCTCACTAAGTATGTTACCATACTGAGGCATGATGGCGTTCATTCAATATCAACAATAACAAACTAATAAGAACTTTCCCCCTTATTTTGCCAGGCCCTGAGTGAGACTGCAAAGTACAGGAAAAAAGTAAAACATATCCTTGCCCTTGAGGAACAAGCACAAGTACTCAAAACTCGTAGTCCATATCAAGTCGCAAGTAGCAGAGGTGCGGTGGGAAGGGCAGCGGAGGAACTGAGGATCCCGCCCGTGAGCCTGCACCAGTCACTCAATCCCTCTGATCGCGTGTGCTCCCCTATCTCCACATGAACATATCACTTCACAAACTTGCTGGAAGGGTTCATTTTGTTAGCTTGCTCCCTGCCGTCCTTTTGCTCCAGTAAAAGTGATCAGAGACATCAAGGGATTTGCCCAGAAATCATCTGGAAAATCAACAGCAAGATCAGAACCAAATGCTGTTCCCCTACTAAGTCTAGACCCCAGGCCAGCCCTTCTAAGGATCCAGAATAAATCCATACAAATGCACATGCTTTTCCAGACCAGCTGGGGTAGGATGAAAGAAAAAGGCAGTAATATCAGTTATCTCAGATTTGTCAGTGACTTCATCAGGTGAGGCTGAGATGAGGAGGCGGGCCTAAAGAGGAATGTTCTAGAAAAACAAGAGGGGGCAAAAGAGGGGCTTGAAATTGCAAAAGTTCAAATAAGACAGATTGGAATTTGCAGAGGATTTGGGGAGAAGCCTAGCAAAATGATTCAAAACTTGGACTTGCAAATCAGACAGACCCGCATTCAAATCCTGCCTCTGATGTCTTCATTGTACAACCCAGTGCAGACAAATTTAACTCTTCTGGACTCCTCGTCCATAAAGAGTCTTATCTGTAGGTTTGTAAGATAAAAAGGAGGGGCGCCTGTGCGGCTCAGTCGTTAAGCGTCTGCCTTCAGCTCAGGTCATGATCCCAGGGTCCTGGGATCGAGCCCCGCATCGGGCTCCCTGCTCCGTGGGAAGCCTGCTTCTCCCTCTCCCACTCTCCTTGCTTGTGTTCCCTCTCTCGCTGTGTCTCTCTCTGTCAAATAAATAAATAAAATCTTTAAAAAAAAAAAAAGAAGATAAAAAGGAATGAGGTCTGTAGTGCCTAGCACACAGAAAAGCACTCAACAAATGCTAGCCAAGAAGAGAAGGCCAAGGGACATAGGTACTACAGAAAATGAGGGCGCATGGGTAAGACACTTTGGAAGAGAGGTTTGGGGCAACGGGCTGGTTGGAATGAGGCTTACCTCTTCTCCAAAGTGTCTTACCCATGAGCTGGAGGCTGGGAGAACTGATAAAGGACATGCTGCTCCTCTATTTAAAACAAAACTCCCCAGTAGCTTCCCATCAGGGAATAAAATCCAAACTCCCTACCACAGCCTACCGTGTAAAATGCCGACACAATAGGGCTCTGCCTATCTAACTGCCCTCAATACTTACAATTCCCCACTGGCTCACTATGCTCTGGCTCCTACAACACACCACGCTTATTCTGTCTGGGGGCCTGTGGAATGAACAGTTCCCTCCACCTGGAATGCTCAGCACCCAAAACTCTGTGCACTTGGCTTCTTCTCATCATTCAGATATCACTTCAAAGGTCACTTCTTCTTCAAAGTTGTCCTTGATCTTCCACTCCAAAGGAGCTCCCCAATCACCTCTCTTACCACATCACTGTATTTGTCTTCTTTGCAGCCCTGATCCTTATCAGACAGGCCTTGTTTACATCTGGATAAAGAAAGTGTGGTATATCCATACAATGGAAAATTATGCAGCCTTAAAAAGGAAGGAAAACACCTGTCACAATCCTACAACATGGATTACAATGTCCTCAGGGCCATTACGATAAGTGAAATCAGTCACAAAAGCCAAATACCGTATGACTTCACTCATCGGAACTATCTAAACTAGTCAAAATCATAGCTACACAAAGTAAAAAGGTAGAAACCAAGGGCCGAGGGGAGGGAAGGAAGATTAGTGTTTAGTGGGTACAGAGTTTCACTGCTGCAGATTCAAAAGTTCTAGCGATCTGTTGCACAAAAACGTGAACGTATTTAATACTTCACTTAAAAAATGGTTAAGACGGTGAATTTAATGCTGTGCGTTTGTTTTGTTTCGTTTTTTGCCGAAATAAAAAAAATGTGATAAAACACCCATTAATATGGAAATATGTTTTTGATATGCCAGGAAGTGAAAAAGAAGCAGTAATAAAACCGTATTACAATTAAAAAAAAAAAAGGGCAGAGAGGGCCAAGGAAGTTTCTCGTAGGATGCCGAAGTGGGGAATGGGCGGGAAGGGTGCCCGGTGGCCCTGGTGAGCCAGCTGGCCGCGGGGAAAGCAAGTCGCAGGCACCCCGGGCAGGAGCGAGGTCTGGGCGGCCGCGGCGGGGGACGCCGGAGGAAGTGGCCGGCCTGGCGGGGAAACGGGGGCCAGGGTCGTACCTTGCGCCTGCAGCGTCCGCAGCGCGCGGCTGTAGAGCACCGTGGCCTCGGCGAACTGGCCGTTGCGGAAGCTCTGGTTGCCGGCGGCGCGGAGCTCGTCCACGGAGTCTGCGAGCTTGGGGCCCATCCCGGGGCCGGGACGGCGCACCGGGGGGCGCGTCCGTTTACCGCGCGGAGGCCGGCGCAACAGCGTCCGGGCGGGAGCACCTGCCGGCGAGGACGTGAGTCCTACGGCCAACCTGCCCGGGAGGGGGCGGGACGCACGGGGCGGGGCCAGAGTTGCGCGCGCCACAGGGGCCTTCTGCGCATGCTCGGGTCGGGACTTGCCTGGCGAAGCGCGCTAGGGTCTCTGAAGGTAGGCTGGGAACCTGGTGATGCTAAAACTCTGGGTGAAACAATGAAAGAGGCCGGGTCCCTGCTCGCAAGGAGCTTACATTCTGGTGGTAACCGACAGGCTGTTAACCCTTGAGCAAACGAAGACGATAATCTCATAATGTGATTAATGCTAGACGGAAAACAGAACAGTGATGTAATGGAAAGTGACCACATGGGGACTATTTTAGATAAGGGGGGTGGGATGGGGTAGGCGTCTCTGAGGGACTAATTGAGCTGAAGAAGCCTGAGAAGATTTAGGGAGTGCTAGTCCAGACCGAGGGATGGCAAGTGCAAAGGCACTGAGGCTGGAAATTAACTGGTACCTACTGCTCTGTAGATGTTGATTTAATAAATGAATGCACTGATAGGTTCATGAGGATCTTTCGCAGAGGGAAACTTCAGCTTATCTTCAGCGTCCTTTGACTTAACTCTATGTCCCAGTTGATGTGCCAGTGTTTGTAATTGCTTGTTGTCTCCTGCGCACATGAAGCTGTTTCTCTTGCTTCCTGACCTTGGCTTATGTGCCCCCGTCCTGCCGTTCTTTTCCAAACACTTCCTCTTGCCTGATCCTGATCCACCTATAATCAACTCAACCACCCTTTCTGAAAGCCTTTCTTGACTCCTCACGTCTTTCACCTTGTCCCTCCTCTGCTCCAATTGCTCCCAAGGTTTATCCCTCATTTGGTACTTATCACTCTGTGATTGTCAGTTTATAGTTTTTCTCAAAGACTGTGAGGTCTTTAAAGGCAGGAAATCGGTCTTTATTTTTGTCTCCACAAGACCTAATCGGAGCTGGCACCAAACATGCCGTTCTAAAGGTCTGTTGACAAACACCTGGTCTCTGCCCTCAGGAATTTAGTTATAATTATTTGTGTAAACCCAACCCAACCAGACTATAAACTTTCTGAGTTGCTGTTCCATCTGAATCCCCTCAGTCCAGGCCCCACACAAGGAAAGAATGAACACTTAGTGTGGTGGGGAAACCCGACCGGGCACATACACTGCTGGTTATCTACTCAACAGCTTCCATCTTTGCTTCCAGAAGTCTGAATTCTCCTGGTCCAGGGAATGAATCAGGATTTCTTTAAACCAATCACAATAATCTCACTCTCTTTTGCCAGTGATTGGTCAGGGGTGGACATGCCCGTGATTTGCCCCAGTGAGTTACAGGATGTCTGCTGGGTCCTTATGAGAAAGTTTTTCCTCCCAGATAAGAGGTACAGGACTGCAAAATAACTTTTTCTTTTGCTCTTTTTATGATTTGGGTACTGTTGGGTTAAGGATATCCAACTGGACATGTGGTAGTCATTTTGCAATTGTGAGGCAGTAAGCGCAGGTATGAAAAACCAATGTGCTGGGGGGGGGGAGGGGAAAGATGAAATTGACATTGGTGAGCCCCTGAATCAACCCTGGGCAGACTGACTTCTGGGCTACTTATTAATAAACAACAAATGCCTCGGGGCCTTAAGCCACCATTTAGTTGTTTTTTTTTCCTGTTGCTTGGAGGTGGATATATTCTAAATGGTACACCAGACAAGTACACCTGTGTCAAGCTGTATTTTCCAAAAATGACCAAAACAATAATTTCCAGTCCTCTGCCCTCTTCCAGAACTTGGCCACTCCCCCATGCAGAGATAGAGTCTATTTCAGCTCTCTTTGAAACTGCACAGGACTTTGGGGTCCCCTTAACAGTATAAAGGACATCTACCTCCCAAGACTATGCCATTAAAATGCACTGCAGCTTCCTCCTGGCTCCCTTTCACAAATATCCTTCAGAACCTAGCCTTTATCCATATTTATTTTAACCAAAACAGAGAAGTCCCCTCTACCCCCAGCGCCAAGTGAGCTCCCGGCCAACAGCCAGCACCAACTTGTCAGCCATGTGAGTGAGGCATTTTGGGTAAGAATTCATCCAAATGGTGACTGACCCTGACACCATGGAAAAGAGATGAGCCTTCCCTGTGGAACCATGCTCAAACTGTAGATTTATGAGCGAGAGAAAAAAAAATGTTGTTTTATGCCACTAAGTTTTGGGAATGGTTTCTTAACACAGCAACTGATAAATGGTAAGCCCTTCCCACAATGCTTCCCATAAATGCAGAGCTGATAAAAGCAGAACTGAAAGAATTTAGGGGAGGGATATACTGGGGAGTCCGGGCAGAGAGGAAGTCTTCTAGGAGGAGGTGATTTTTTAAAAATAACTTTATTGAGAAAGAATTCGCTAGCATAAAATTCACCCATTTAAAGTTGTGTACAGTTCAGTGGTTTTTATTATAGTCAGTGTTGTACAATCATCACCACAATCAATGTTACAGTATTGTCATTACCCCAAAATGAAACCCCACATCTTTTAGTCATCAGGCCCAATTCACCTACCCCATCTCCCCCATCCCCAAGCCCAAGCCCAAAGCAACCACTAATCTACCTTCTGATGGATTTGCCTATTTTGGACTTTTCAGGTACATGGAATCATATGATACACGATTCTTTGTGATTGGCTTGACATAGCACAGTGTTTTCCACGGTCATTCATGGTGTAGCATGTATCAGAACTTCATTCCTTTTTATTGCTGAATAATTTTCCATTGTATACATTTTGGGTGTCCATTTTATTTATACATTTATCAGCTGATGGAAATTTGGGTTCTCTTTTTGGGGCAGGAAATAACTTTTTGATATTAAGATTTCATCTCTCTGAGTTAACCATCTCATTAAAGCCATATTTAATTTGTATTCAGCTTTAATGGGGAAGGAATAGATATTATAGCTGTAGTCTCCTGAATGAGATAATATGCACAGACATTATTATTGGACAGTAATCTTTTTGTTGTTTAAACACTTCTTTTCAGGGTTAATTGGTAGTTTCTTTAAATAATATCTCTGCCTTTGTTGGTTGAGAGACACTGGTGAGTAAAGGTGTGTTAGAATCAGGACACTCTGGGGTGCCTGGGTGGCTCAGTTGGTTAAGCGGCTGCCTTCAGCTCAGGTCATGATCCCAGGGTCCTGGGATCAAGTCCCGCATCGGGCTTCTTGCTCAGCAGGGAGCCTGCTTCTCCCTCTGCCTGCAGCTCCCCCTGCTTGTGCTCTTGCTCACTCTCTCTTGCCCACGCTCTCTCTAGCAAATAAGTAAATAAAATCTAAAAAAAAAAAAAAAAAAGAATCAGGACCACCTTACATTTCATTTAACTAAGCCAGGCACAGCCAATACTTTTATATGCTGATTGCAAATAATGAACCAATTAGTCTTGGGGAAAGAAGTATAGACAGCATCATAATTTGTCAATTTACAGTTCTGGATGCTTTTCAGTTCAGGTGTATCAATCATGATCTAATCTGAAAACACTGAGTAAGATGTCTTAAGGAAGGGATTTGAAATAAGAAGTTAGTTCAGGGAATTGGGTGTCAGAGGTGACAGAGGAGTCAAGAAGCCAACAGAGAACGGTGAGGGAGCCCAAAGGCCAGCAGCAGCAGGAAATGACTACTATGCCCAGGACTTGAATATAAAAAGGAAATGGTGATGATATGGCTTGGAGTGTTGGGGTTTGGAGCCAACGGCCAAGAAAGAATTCTTGAGACATCTTTGGGGCAAAAAGGTAGGTTTTATTAAAGCACGGAGGCAGGACACAGGGGTAGAAAGAGCTGCACTGGGGTTATGAGGAGTGACTGATTAAAGATTTTCTATCCTATGGAGAGGAGGGTGATGTTAGGGTTCCAGGAAATTGAGTCTATAGGTTTCTGGAAATTTTTTTCTTTTTTTTTGTTCTTTAAATTTTTTTTTTTTTTAAAGATTTTATTTATTTATTCATGACAGAGGGAGAGAAAGAGAGAGACAAGCAGAGGGAGAAGCAGGCTCCCAAGGAGCAGGGAGCCCGATGCGGGACTCAATCCCAGGACCCTGGGATCATGACCTGAGCCGAAGGCAGACGCTTAACCATCTGAGCCACCCAGGCGCCCCTGTTCTTGAAGTTTTTATGTTATGTTAATCACATACATTACATCACTAGTTTTTGATGTAGTGTTCCACGAGTCATTGTTTGTGCATAACACCCAGTGCCCCGTGCAGAACGTGCCCTCTTTAATACCCATCACCAGGCTAACCCACCCCCCACCCCCCTTCCCCCTAGAACCCTGTTTGTTTTTCAGAGTCCATCGTCTCTCATGGTTCGTCTCCCCCTCCGATCGGAAATTGCTTTCTTCCTTATAAATCATTAAGACAGTTGCAAACTGAAGGAGACTTGTGTCCTGCATCCGGCATGACTGTGATCGCCATCAGTTAACCTTTTTTTTTTTTAAGATTTTATTTATTTATTTGACAGAGAGAGACACAGCGAGAGAGGGAACTCAAGCAGGGGGAGTGGGAGAGGGAGAAGCAGGCTTCCCGCGGAGCAGGGAGCCTGATGCGGGGCTCGATCCCAGGACCCTGGGATCATGACCTGAGCCGAAGGCAGACGCCCAACGACTGAGCCACCCAGGCGCCCCCGGTTAACCATTTTTTTTTTCCTTTCCTTTGTTCTAGGGCAGCCAGAAGTGCCTGAGGAATGTCACACATATCCCACAAGGTGGGGTGGGGGAGTTGTGGAGTGTTACCTTGTGCTTTGCCCTCAGTTTGCCTCTGCTCCTTCATCAGTGATATTTACAGAGTTCAGAAGCTGCAGTAGAGTAGACGCTGGAGTCAAGTAAGGATGCTCTAGGAGGAGCTGAAGACAAAGTTACTGTTGGATACTTGATCAGAAGCAAAGAAGAGAGAGAAAGACTGGCTTCTCTCTTAGTTCTGCCCTCCATCTCCTGCCAGTGCTGGCTGAAACTGGCCAGAGGTCAGCTGACATGGGAACCTGGGAAGTGAGCTTGCAGGGTTGGTCTCTTCCCCTAAGACTTCTTAGGTATGACATCAAAAGTATGACTCAGAAAAAAAGCGGATAAACTATACTTAAAAATTAAAGTTTCTGTTCTTTAAATGAGACTGTTAAAAGAATGAAAATACAAGCCCCAGAAAATGCTTGTAAATCACATATCTGATAAAGGACATGCATCCAGAATATTAAAAAACACTAAAAACTCAGTAACAAGGAAACAGTGCAATTTTAAGAAGGACAAAAGACTTGAACAGATAGTTCAGAAAATATACAGATGACAAGCACTTGAAAAGATGCTCAACCTCATTAGCCAGTAGAAAAAATACAAATGAGAAACACAGTGAGAGGGGAGCCTGGTGGCTCAGTAGGTTAAGTGTCTGCCTTCAGCTCAGGTCCTGATCTCAGGGTCCTGGGATCAAGCCTCATACCAGGCTCCATGCTCAGCAGGGAGTCTGCTTCTCTCTCTCCCTCTGCCTCTCCCTCCTTGCTTGTGCCCCCCCAAATAAATAAATAAATAAATAAAATCTTTAAAAAAAGAAAGGCAACATAGTGAGATACCACTACACACTATTAGATCGGCTAAAATTGCAAAGACCGATCATACCAAGTGTAGATGACATAGAGCTATTGAAATTCCCATACACTGTTGGTGGAAATGTGAAATAGTATAATCACCCTGAAAAACAGTTTCTTAATACATTAACCAAGTATCTTCTATATGACCCAGCTATTTCTCACCTGCGTGTTTACAAGAGAAATGAAATGTAGGTATGCCTATATGTATGTCCATATAAACGTGTACATAAATGATTTTAAGTTTTATTTGTAATAACCAAAAACTGGAAAATGATTACTTAGAAACCATTGGGCTTTGGGGTGGTTTTTTACATAGTGATAGTTAACTGGTACACTGAACTAACTCTGCAATTTTTTGCATCTTTACATTGCCCTTATTCAATGTGACTCTGGCCACAGTTCCTACCTCATCTCCTACCGTTCCTTATTCATTCTGCTCCAAACATGCCAACTTCTAGCTGCTCTTCCAACACAAGCCTTTGCCCTTGTTGTTCCGTTTGCCTTAAATGCTCTTTAAAAATATTAGTGTGACTTAGTCTCTCAATTCGGTCACGTTTTTTTTTGGTCTATATGGTTTTTGTTGCTTTGTTTATTGCCTTTCCCACTTGAATGTAAGATCCACGAGGGCAGAAACTTTATTTTGCTCACTGCTTTGCACCTAGTACTGTGCTTGGCCCAGAGCAGATACTAGATATGTATTTGTTGAATGAATGAATGAATGAATGAATGACTGTTCTGACCTTCTCAGAGTTTTCCTGATCCTACTAGCCTTGGTTAGGTTCTCGTATTACAGTTTTATATAATTTATCACTACATTAATTACCTCTCTAGCAACTATGTCTTCTACACTGTAAATTACAAAAAAAAGCTAGAACTCATCTATGTCCTGAGTACTAGTACATAGCCAGAGCCTAGTACAGTGCCAGGCATGTGTAGCTCAGTAAGCACAGAATGAAATATGAGTAACCCTGCTCATTGGTTCTCTCTTTTTTAAAGATTTTATTTATTTTAGAGTGAGAGAGAAAGAAAGTGTGTGCACACATGGCGAGAGGGGCAGAGAGAAAGGGAGAAAGAATCTCAAACAGACTCCCCACTGGGCACGGAGCCAGATGCAGAATCTCACAACCCTGAGATCATGACCTGAACCAAAATCACAAGTCGGATGCTCAACCAACTGAGCCGCCTAGGCGCCCCATTGGTTCTTTCTCTTAAGCTATTATCATATTATGGTTCGCTAAGGTTTGTTATTTACTTATTTATGTTTAAAGATTTTTATTTATTTATTTGAGAGACAAAGAGAGAGAGAGAACAAGAATGAGTTGGGGGGAGAGGAAGAGGGAGAAGCAGGCTCCCCGTTGAGCAGGGAGCCCAATGCGGGACTCGATCCTAGGATCCTGGGATCATGACCTGAGCTGAAGGCAGTCACTTAGCCAACTGAGCCACCCAGGTGCCCCTTAGTTATATTAAATATAATTTAAAATTCAGTTTGTCAGTCATACTAGTCACATTTAAAGTGCTCAGCAGCCACATGTGTCTGTCTAATGGCAATGGTTTTGGACAGCACATATATAGAACATTTCCACCATCACAGAAATTTCTATGGGGCAGTGCTGGACTGGCCATTCTATTGAAAGACGGGGCAATCCTAATGTCAGTCTATCTTTTGGAAAAATCCCAGGAAGGGGATAAAGGAGGGATGTTTGACATTGTGTACTGGTAAATTGACATTTATTTTTAAAAATGTTTTCCAAGTACCTCATTTATAGGGATGTGTGTGTGGGCAGCGGGGCCTGAACATAAGGTCACACGAGGAGTGTGCTTTAGGAGAAGTACAGGAAAAGTACCAGGGGATTTCAGAGGATAGAGGGCTGACTTTTTGCAATAGGGACCTGTGATGGCTTCCTAAACTTTGTACAGGAACTTTTGATCTTTACTACCTCAGGGCTCCTACTGCCATTTGTACAGATTTGTAGTAGGGCAAAGAGGCAAATAAAACATGCATTCTGTGGAGTCCAGCCCATCTTGGGTTAAAAACTTTTCTCTCACTAGCTGTGTCTATGTGAGTCTCAGCTTCCTCACCTGTAAAATAGGGATAATAACTTCTACTTCATAGGGTTGTTTGAAGGTTAAGAGACAGCCTAGGATTGTGCCTGGCCCATAGATTCTCTGTAAATGTGTTCCTCCTGTGTAAGGGGAACGGATCGGTTACCCCTATTTTAGCACATGGGGTGCCATACCTGGGTGGTCCTGAAAGGTGGTTGCTCAGGTGTTAATTTCATGGATGGCATACCTTTGGGAAAAGCAGGACAAATAATACACAAAATTGGGGATAACGTTACAGGTTTCCTAAGAGGATTAAATGAGATAATATATAGGTAAGTAAGCACATGGCAAGAGCTTAATCACGGTTAGCTAACTATCTTTCTGTCCGCAAACTAACTCAAAGGTGAGAGGCCCTTAAGAAAAGAGGGTGAGCAATTTGCAGCCTGATGCTCTGTGACATCCAAGGGCGGTCCGGCCTCCGTCTGGAACAAGAATCCAACCGGCTAGGAGCGGTAGGAACCCACAAATACCTCGGAGCAGCGCTTCCCCGAAATCGCGTACAACTTGGCCGGTTAAGAACCGACGGCGCTTCGCAAGAACCCTCAGTATCTCGGTCCGAGGAACGAGGGCCGGGCCGAAGCGGAGACGGGTTCCCGGCCCGAGTCCCAGTGTCCCGGGCGAACCGCCCCACACCGACACCGCGTCGCCGACGGGCTCGAGCTCTACGGAGGACGCTCCGGGCTCCGCGGCCCCGCCCCGCGCGCCACGTGACTCAGTCTCCGCACCACGTGGTCCGGGCCGGGTCCTCGCCGCTCCTCCCCGCTCGCGCGCTGCGCGCCTCTTCCGGTGGGGGCGGAAAGCGGAAGTGTGGGAGGGTCTGCGGGGCGGGCTCGGGGAGGTCCCGGGGGAGGATGGAGCAGTGAGCGGGTCTGGGCGGCTGCCGGCAGCGCCATGGAGACGGTGCAGCTGAGGAACCCGCCGCGCCGGTGAGGGGCCGCTGGCTGAGGGGCAGGGGGTGGGGAGAGGGAAAGGCGGGAACTGGCGGAGGAGAGGCACCGGGTGCGCCCCCGGAGGGATGGACCTGCGGGGCGAGGCGATCTTGGCACCTGCTGAGTGGGGGAATCTCCGCCGGGAGGGGGTCCGGCAGAGGGGAGCACGCGCCCAGGGGGATAAACGTGGGGCTGGTTGGGGGGAGCACTTGCTGCGGGGGGACATCCTGGTGGACGGGGGCACTGCTGAAGGGAGCAGCTGCTGAGGGACGTGGGGACAAGTTAGGGAGAGCACCTGCTGAGGGCGGGGGCGCCTGGGGGGATGCCATGCTAGGAACGATTCATTGAGGTAGGGGGCATGCTGAAGCAGGATGAGAACCTAGAGGGGTCTAAGATACGGGTCGGGAACAAGCAGAGGAAGGCTGGGTGGACTTTCTGAGGGAGGGGGTCCCATTTGAGGGGTGCAGTGGGGAGGATCTGTTGAGGGGAAAAGCTCTGTGCCTAAGGCTGGAGGCGTGCCGAGAAAGGTTGAAGGTCCAGCAAGGGAGGGCTTCACGCAGGATAAGCATTTAGGAAGATTTTCCGGGTAGTGTCCCCACTCTAGGATGAGGATGACATCTTTCATTCCTGATGCCCCCCTGCCTTCCTAGTTTTCCATACATCCTCTTCAGCTTTTCAAACCTGACATTGGGAGGTGGATAAGGAAATAAGAGGATATTTTCAAGAAGGGCAAATTGATGGCCCAGAAGAGTTGAGACACAGTTCTATGTGTTTCCTTCTTTGCTCTAGGGTCTGGGTCACGACCTGACCAGACTGGGCCCTTTTCAGGGCTCTATTGTTTTGCATCAGCTCCAGATCCTGCTGCTACCTGGAATTGTTTTAAGTCAAGATCCGGGAGGTGGCTGATCCTAGAAAGTCTGAACTCCTGCGTTGGTTTTAGTTATATCATTGATTTGCTCTGTGGACACCAGGGTCTTGTGTCACTCTGCCACATCTGGAGAAAAATAGCAGAGATCAAGGGAGTCATGCTTCTCTGAGGTGCAGTGTAGTTAGCTTCTATTTCACAGAGACCTCTGACTTCCTGCGGCAGAATGAGCACTAAAGTAGGAAGTGTTCAGTGTGTGGGAGTGTGGGGCAAAGGAGAGGTGAAGGGAAGGGATTGGCAGCCTGGGCTGCACACTTGGGGTTTGTTTGAAGTACACAAACATTGCAGAAGGCGAATAGCTGGTTGGGATGGACTCATAATTCACCCTACTGTAGTGTGCTGAGACGGAAATGATAATGATTCTTACACATACGGCACCTACTGGGTGCCAGGGACCGTTTTCAAAAAGTGCTTTCCCTGTCTCCTGGTGAACCACATGTAATTGACCTATAAAAATGGTAATTTCGTGTGGTTCAGCTTATTACGACTCTTTCGATCCTCACAACAATCCTATGAGGTGGTTACTTCTGTATCTCTATTGTACAGGTGATAAAACTGAGGCACAAAGAGTTTTAAGTGATTGCGGGAGGTTCCACTGTTAGTAAGTGGCAGAGCTGGGATTTTAAACCAGGTGGTCTGGTCTACAGTCCATGCTCTTAACTGCTTCCTCTGATGCCGCTCTGGAAGTACCCCTGTTTCACAGGGCCTGTGTATGTTAGCAAGTATTTGCTACAGCACCATAGTGATCCAGTTATAAATGTACACTGGTTATATTTCTTTCTGAAATATATTCATTGTTTCTCCGAGGTCTCAGTTTAATTGAAAAGAGGATTAGGAATCTGAGTTTTGTTTCTACCTTGCCTTGTGTTACATAATCTTGGGCAAAAGCGTAAACCTTTTTACTTTTTGGTCCAGCTCATTCCTGCACCTTTTGGATTTTAAGAAATTTATTAAATGTGCAAGAGAAGAGCATTGCAGGGCTGAATTCTTGAATGACTGGTACTTTCCTGCTCATCATAACTAGTGAAGTACTTAATCTGCGTTAGATTACCTTTATTACTTGCATTTATTAGGATTACCATATCAGTTTCACAGACTAGGTGATTTAAACAACAGAAATGTATTTTCTCCCAGTTTTCTGGAGGCTAGAAGTCTAAGATCAGGGTGTCAGCAGGGTTGTTTCTTTGAGGCCTCTCTCCTTGGCTTGTGTAGATGGCTCTCTCCTTCCTATGTCTTCACATGGTTTTCCCTCTGTACTCTCTGTGTCCTTATCTCCCATAAGGACACCAGTTATATTGAATTAGGGCCCACCTCTATGACCTTATTTTACCTTAATTACCTCTTTAAAGGCCCTGTCTCCAAATAAAGTCACATTCTGAGGTCCTGGGGCTTAGTACTTCAACATAGGAATTTGGGGAGGGGCAACATATGAATTTTACTATCATTAAAAAGTTATCAATTTATCTTACACATTTGTTGTAACCATATCAAATTCTGAATGGAAAGAGAGATAGGTACACATAAATAAAATGAACCTTACAAGAGTTCTAAGATAGGAGAAAGAGGCTTGAGAATTAGCCAAATCTGTGAGTAACTATTTCATAAATACCCTTGTTTGTGTTTGGAGAGATACAGGTGTCTTTTCAGAGATTCAGTTGGCATGTGTTTCCAGCAAGGGATAGTAATCTCAATGCAGGAAATGCTCTTTGCATTCATGAGCTTGACATTTGTGTGTGACTGAGTGATTAGAGATTCAAGTTGATGGGTTACATAGGAGATTATGATTTTTTTAAAGTGAGCTGGCATTAGATAATAATAGTGTGGTGGAGGATGTAGAGGGCATTTCTGGGATGGTTGGCTGTCCACGTGGCCGTCTGACTTAGGAGAGGAGCATCTGCCGGTGTTTGGTCCACGGAGGCTGTGTTGGCCAGGCCTGTTCTTTTATGAGCAAGCAATGAAACTACCTAGGACCCGGGGAAGTCCGAGCTGAGAGCTGAATCATCAGTCGGGCTGTTTTGTGCTTCTTCCATGAAGACTTACGGTATAAAGTATCATTGAGAGTCACTTATCAAAAGATTTTCCAAGGAATCTTATTTGTTGATATCTGGTAATCCTTTTTAGGGTGGCATTCTGTTCTGGAAACTCACAAGGATTGCTGATAAAAGTTTAGGATTCCCATCGTTACATTCATTAATCCATATAGGAAATATTTATTGACCACCTCTGGGTTATCAGGCAGCAGAGAGATAAAGATCTGTTAAGCCTGGATCAAAAGCAAACAAAAAACTGGGGCACCTGGGTGGCTCAGTCTGTTAAGCGTCTGCCTGTGGCTCAGGTCATGATCCCAGGATCCTGGGATCCAGCCCCAGGGAGTCAGCTTCTCCTTCCCCCTGCTCTTGTGCTCTTGCTTGCTCTCTCTCTCTCAAATAAATAAATAAAAAATCTTAAAAAAAAAACCCAAAACACACACAAACAGAAAACCCAGGTAGATTGTTTGAAAGAAGTCTCTGAGCAGGTATATACAGTTTGTTGGAGGATTATCAGGGGCTTGCAGCTGTTTCTCGCATGCCAGGAGCAGTTTCCTTTGTTATGTTGTGGTCTCAGAGTAGTTGAAATGGTGAGTTTTGCTTTTTGTAAACCACAAAGTCAGTACTTCAGAGGAAGACATTTGATCTTCCTTTATATAAGCTGTTTAATTATACTTGAGAAATGAGGTATTGTCCATTGTTTATACAGTTATGAATTCAGCGCTTCAGCAAAAAACCCTCCTGGTTCATGCAATGTTCTTTCTAACATCTGAATTCATAGACATTTCACTTCTGAAGTTTAAGAGGAGTTTCACTTCAGCCCTTTTTGTTTTGAAGCTAGTTTTTATGTCGTCACTGGAATTTAATGTTTAAGACCTTTTGATTTTCAAAGGTCACTATGGTCATTTGTTAATTTTCCAGTTGTGGCAGTTATTGACTTGGAGCATTTCTCCATTTCTTTAGTGTGTAGTCTTTGACATTTACAGAATTATGTGAGATTGTCCTTTAGAGATCAGTGTTTATGGGTGGATACACTCGATGTGTTCAGAGTTTTCTGTCTTCTGGTTTTGCTAGTTCTTCCAGGAAGGTATGTGTGCGTGTGTATGTATGTATGTAATTCAAGTCCTCTCTTGTAAAAATTGGTATTATCCAGCTAGTTTAAACCTTTTCTCTACAAAAAAGTCTCCAGTGTTACTACTTCCATAATTTCACCATTTCCTGAGCTCTCTTTTTTTTGTTGTCCTTTGTAGTTTCAGGAAACCATTGTGTAGAAGATACACACAGATGCATGCGCACACACACACACACACACAAATGTTCCTTGGCAAGCTCCTTCCTTAAGCCCATTAATAATTTTCAGACATCTTAGTTTAAAAAAATATTAATTTATAACCTCCCAGGTTTGTAATTAACTGTGTTTAGCATAATCAGAAAAATCTGAATTATCAGGGAATTATAACCTGCCATGTATCTTTGACTTTGGGGGCTTCTTGGATGTACACAGCCACCCATGGGAGAGTCTGAGTCTGTTTGAAGTTCCTAGCTGCATAGTTATTTTTCACTTTTGATCATGTATAAGTGTATACCTTCCACTTTCTGTTTCTGTGATACCTATAAAATCCCTGTGTTTTAGTTGAATTACCAAAATCTTGCTAAGGGAGAGCAAGAGTCTCTATGTCTTCCTTGGCCTCCAGTCTGAGACCATGTTTCAATTCGTAGTTAACCTTACATTAAACATCTCTTCTGAAGAGATAGTTATGCCATCTTAATTCATGGAATCTCAAGATATAAATGGATTTTAAAGGTTCTATCAAAGCTGGAATCCACTCTGTAGCATTTCAGCCAAATGATGATTCATTTTCTGTTTAAGTTCTCCAGTGATGGGGAGCTAGGGACTTCTTAAGGCAGTCTAAACCATTTTAGAACAACTTTTGTTGTTAGGAAATTTCTTTCTTTTTTAAATTTTATTTATTTCAGAGAGAGAGAGAGTGTAGGCGAGAGCACAAGCAGGGGGAGGGACAGAGGGAGAGGGAGAAGCAGACTCCCCACTGAGCAGGGAGCCCCATGTGGGGCTTGATCCCAGGACCCTGAGATCATGACCTGAGCCGAAGGCAGACACTTAACTGACTGAGCCACCCAGGTGCCTTGGAAAATTTCTTACACCTGTTGAACTGAAGTCTGACTCTTGGTAGTTCTCTACCCTCTGGTCCTGATTATGCTCACCAGAGGGCTGCAGGACACATGTAATACCGCCATAGACAGCCCTTAAGTCTCTCAGCTGGGGCACCTGGCTGGCTCAGTCAGAAATGTGTGTGACTCTTGATCTTGGGGTCATGAGTTCAAGCCCCACAATGGGTGTAGAGATTACTTAAATAAATAAAAAACTTAAAAAAAAAGTCTTTTACGAACCATGAGCGACTATGACTCTGGGAAACAACCTGAGGGTTTCAGAGGGGAGGGGGATGGGAGGATGGGGTAGCGCGGTGATGGGTATTAAGGAGGGCACGTGTTGTAATGAGCACTGGGTGTTATACGCAAATAATGAATCATGGAACACTACATCAAAAACTAATGATGTACTATATGGTGACTAACATAATAAAAAAAATGTCTCTTAGCTTGCCTTTGTTGTTGTTTACCAGTAAAGACTTGGTAGAGCAATTCCTAAGATCCTAATTGTAATATAAATAATGTATTTTGTGGTTTAGTTGCTAGCAAGTAAAATGTATTTTACGTTTTTATTTCTTCATTCACAGGCAGCTGAAAAAGTTGGATGAAGATAGTTTAACTAAACAACCAGAAGAAGTGTTTGATGTCTTAGAGAAACTTGGAGAAGGGTAAGTGTACAGAAAATACAGGTAGACCAGTAGGTCCCAATCTTTTTCTTCCCCCAACACCAGCAGGGGCTGAACCTTTTTCATGTCAATAATTCACAAACCTAAGGAGAAGGAAGAGGAACATTGCATATGGCACTGCTCTGAGTGGGGTGGGTGGGAAATTCACAGCTTGAGATGCCCTTTCCCTCTTTCCTCCAGTCACTGTTATAGACAGATTTAATGATGCCTGGCCTCTTCAACACCAAAGGCATCTATTGTTTTCTCTCTTGTAGAATCTATAGTTTACAGGATTTTATGTATGGAACAGCACTAACTAGTCTGTACTTAATTTAACAACTTTTATTAGTCATACATTTTTATTTGCTGTTCATAGTTTCTGATCAATATGTAATAACTGTTGTTTCCATAAAATGGAATTCAGCATTTTAGTTAGTACAGCATTGTGAAATATAGTAAATAAATCAAGGGCTGTCACTACCTTTACACCTTCCAAGAGATTGAAAATCCCAGGTCGGGAACCAGTGTACTTCTTGAAACCCAGATTTGTGAGTGTGTATAAAATACTGCTGAAATGGTATTTCATAATAGTGGTTTTTTGTGTATCATTCAGTGATAGTTTCTGCATTAATAAGTAGGTGTGTGTGTGTGTGGGTGTGTGTGTGTTTAGTCTCTCGAGAGTACTTCTAGTTCAAGAGAAGACCTGAAATATTAACTTTTAAAAATTTCCGTTGTTTAAGTGCTGTGTGCGCCTTGAAATCAAGTCTTATATGTCATTAGATTATTTTGGGGTTTGGTGTTACTTATGTCTAATATAGGTCAGGAATAATCTTAAACCCGATCCTGGATTACATGGCATAGGTTTTCATGGATTGCCTCCTTGTAAAAAACATTAGTCATCTTTTTGTAAGTTGGAACAATACTCTGTGGAATCAAGCAAGACATCAAGCTGAGAAGCGAATAAAAGAGGATGCCAGCTGTGCTGTTAGAAGACAAGTACAAGATGATTCTGAAGACTGCAAGTTGACTTGGTATCCTTAAAGGTACGGGAAAACGACAGTCCCTCCACATCTCTTTCCTGTCCTTTTCCGCTTCAGCTTGGTCTCCTGGCTATTTTCCTCAAGGCAGTGAGTCCAATGCCCTTAATCTAACAGTGCTCACAGGTCGTCTTTGGAATAAGATAAAGCATGTTAGGCATAATTGAATATGTAACTAACTTGTTTCTTTCATTTTTAATAAAAGTGTGTTATGATAGTACGGGCATAGACTCTGATGTTAGATCTGCGTTAAAATCCTTGCTCTACTGTTTATTAGTCAAAATAAACGAGTGAACTTGAGCAAATTACTTAATATTTTGAAGTTTCAGAAACCTTTATATAGTGCAGATATTCGTATCACCCTCATTTGGGTTATGTCAAGTATTACCCAAGATAATGGGGGTAAAGTACTGAGTACAGTGCCTGTCACATAGTGAGTGCTCAATAAGTGGCAACTATGATTCTTTTATCTTTAAGCCTACCAACTGAAGCATTTTTCAGACCTTGTCATGTCAAATTAAAGTTAAATCTTAAATCTCCAGTCTATTTAGGCATTCCTGAAGGGAGCGCTGTTTGGGTTGATTGGGTTTGGGGAACACCAAAAGAAAACTACAGACAAAATATATCAGGAATATATTCTGATGATATAGGAAGGGGAAACTAAGCTAATTATGATTGTTTTTAATTGTCTTTTAGATCTATGCATGTCTTCATCAAGGAACTTGGAAATTTCCTTACAAAGATAAAACCAAGAAAATCAAAATAAAGCTTAAGATCTTTCTCCTTGTTTTATCACCATCGTGCTCTTTTAAGTGATACCACAGATGCTTGGATTTCTGAACGAACCTGAACAAGCTTCATTTAACTAACAGAATCCCGAAGGAAGACCTTAACTCCACTTAGCTGTCTAAACACAAACTGCCATGCCATCCTTAAATTGTTCTGGAAAATGAGTAGATTGTGCACACTCACTGACTTGTGTCTTATGAAATGAGCTCTGGCTGATGGACTGTGTTGGATTCTCTGGAGGCTGCAGTTGTTCTGTGTATGGAGGAAATCCTATGGATCTGTGGCAGAATAGAGCCAACGCTCCAGACCAGGATGAATGGACCATGCTTGGAAAGTGTTTTGCATGAGAGCCCAGCGCCTTTTTCCTTCTATTATACTTAAAGTTTTACACCTTGACTCACTAAAATTTTTTGTCCTAGGATAATTAAAAAACATCTGGCCCCTGGTTTCATAGTTAGTGAGTGGTATTGTTAAGGCTTGTATCTAGTTAATTTGGCTCCAGATACTGTATTATTTCTGTTTTTCCAAATTGATCCTTGCCTTGTGTGGCTTGTGTGAAACCCTAGGTCCCCACCATTTTTATTCTCTGCCAGTCAGAATTCATCAAGTCACTGTAGTTTTTGTTGTAGGAAATCAGGTCTTATGGGATTTGCCTAAAAGTGAGCACAGTTGCTGAAGCCTTCTAAACTCTCTTCAGATTACTCTAAGTGCAGTATGTAGAATCATGAATCTTAATTGTTCATACAAGCTATTGGAGCATTCCTTGCTCTCAAGATAGCATAGAGAGGCATGGATAGTGTTCTGGTTAAGATTGCTGAGTGAGTATACGCAGTGACCTCTCTTTCCATTTCAAATAGATAAAACTAATGAATGAAAATTAAATTTTTATTTTTATTATTTTTTAAAGATTTTATTTATTTATTTGACAGAGTGCACAAGCAGGGGGAGTGGCAGGCAGAGAGAGAGAGGGAGAGGGAGAAGCAGGCTCCTTACTGAGCAGCGAGCCGGACGTGGGACTCGATTCCAGATCCCAGGACCCTGGGATCATGATCTGAGCTGAAGGCAGACACTTAACTGACTGAGCCACCCAGGTGCCCTGGAAATTAAATTTTTAAATAAAAGGATACATGGCCAGCTATGGACCAGGGATGGAAAAGATACGTAATAGTAAGAGGAGAGTAAGGCTTGCCCTGTACTTGTCAGGAGATGGCAGGTAAGCTTCCTACATGAAGTTGTGGGATGGATGAGGCTCCCCATCTACGAACTAAAGCTGAAATAAATTTGATCACCATGAGAAAGTATCATTTGCCCGTGGCCTGGGGAAAACATGGAGGTACTGGTTTGACAATAGGAACTGGGCCTGGCCTGCATTCAGGTATGGGATCTAGAGAGGCAGAAACCCTCAACTCCTAACACGAGACCAAGTTTAAGTTGTTGTACAGTCTAGATGACGGGCCGAGAGAACCATGAAACCATCATGACATCATGAAATGCTCGTGGCATTTAGCATTGTGTAGAGGAAAATCATTCAAGATAAAGGAAACCCATATAAGGAATCTACTGCCTTGGGATAATGAGCAGAACAAATGGGAGAATTGACATCCAAGGAAATAGAAATAATGGAGCAATCTCAAAAGGGATTTAACATGTTTGTTTACGATTTTCAAAACGATGAAAGGAGGGAATAACACCCTTAAAAGAAGAACACCAGGTTATGAACATGAACAGATGGGTTCCAGGAAGAATTAAAGTTGGGAATCTTGACAATCATTGAAGTTTTGGAGGCCCAGTAAGTTGGAAAAACAGTGAACTATACAAGCTGAAAGAATTTGTGAATTGAAAGATAGAAATGAGACTGATCACAAAGTGCAGGACAGAGAAGTACAGTGTTAGAGATCTGGAGGACAGCATGGATTGAGGAGATGCAGTATAGGTCCAATAGGAATTCTAGAAAGAGATAGTAGAAGAGATAGGAAAAAGACAATGCTGAGAATTTCCAGACTTGAAGAAAAATATGCCTTCAGATGGAAGAAGCTTATGAAATGCCAAATGAATCAACTCCTAGTTACGTTATAATAAAATTGTAGAATGTTAAGGATAAAGAGGAAATCCTGAATGCTACCGAAAGAGAGATTACCTATGAAAGATGATAGCCGACTTCTCAGCAACAATAGAAGCTGGAAAACTGCAGAAAAGGTGCTATTGTCCAAGAACTCTGTATCCAGCACAACCGATTCCAAAGAGAATGTGAAATACAGACATCTTCACACATACGGGACCTAGTGTATCAAGAATAACTTTGGAAAGTAACAGAATACCCAACTAGCAATGGCTAACCAATAAGGGCATTTATTTTTTTTTAATTTTTAATTTTTAAAGATTTTATTTATTTGACAGAGAGAGACACAGAGAGAGAGGGAACACAAGCAGGGGGAGTGGGAGAGGGAGAAGCTGGCTTCCTGCTGAGCAGGGAGCCCAATGCAGGGCTCTATCCCAGGACCCTGGGATCATGACCTGAGCCGAAGGCAGACGCTTAATGACTGAGCTACCCAGGCGCCCCCTAATAAGGACATTTAATAACTAAGTAATAATAAAGCTGGGGTGAAAGATTCCAGAATGGCTAATTGGCTTGATAATGGTTTAGCATTTGTGTAATTCTCTATCTCAAGATGGTTGCATTTGTTTCACGCATCATGCCTTATGTAACAGTAACCAAAGTAGGAAAGGAAGTGGCAGGTAAAAATGGGCCTTCTTGTGTGTTTCTCTCTCATCAGGGAAGAAAGTCTCTCTCAGAATCCCTTCAGCAGAATTCCCCTCAAATTTCATTGGCCAGAACCAGGTCACCGGCAGAAGGAATAGGAATGCTATCTGCCTGGACCGCCATGTTTTATCCCCTAGAACCAAGCCTTCACTACCCCAACGAATCAGAGGTTTAACTTCATAAGGAAGAAAGGGCAGCAGGCAGGCCTTCCACACATGGTCAGCGGTTTCCTTTCTCTGGGGGGAATAAATTATGTAACTTTCAAGGATCATTATACTAGTTTTGCCAACATAAAGGATTCTGATGGGCTGGAAATTTTTTTTATGTGTTTTGCATAATTTAGTTTATGTTACTTTTACATTGAAACAGTCTGGAGCATCATTTTGGCAGCTAGAGCACTCAGCTACTTTGACATATCAGGTGGTGCTGTTCTGTAGATCTTTTTTCGCCAGGGCAGTATGAAGAAATAGGTGGGTTTGGGAAATAGGAAAGACAGCTTCCTCATTGTGTTTTCACTGACAGCGTCAAGGTTTCCACTGAAAATGTAATCAGTGTGGGGTGATGGTGGTGTCTCATTTGACCATCACAACTGTCTTGTAGTTTGTATTGTCATTTTACAGGTGAGAAAATTGAGGCATGAGAAGGTTAATATGTATGTAAATGATGGCTAATATGTTATGAGGATAGGGCTCAAATCCTCGGTCTTTTGATTCTAAATTTCCTGCTCTTTTAGGTACCAGATTGAATGGACATATAAACTTTTTATTTATTTTGATAATAAGCCCATAAGGGCAGATGGAGCAAAAGGCTTTCTATGTGCTGTGTTCACCTGATACTAGCATTTGAAAGGGCTTAGATTTTTAATTAGTTTCCATAATGTTTTTTTAAGTATTATTGCCAATAAGAGGAGCAGGGACAGAAGAACCTCATGGTACTGGAGTGAACACAAGAGCACATAGACCTCCATTTCAGCATTCTAGCCCAGGTAGATGTGGGAAGAACATAAGCTTTGTGTTCAGACACACCTGGATTCACATCCTGGCCTGACCACTTATTTTTCATCTCTGTGATATTGGGCAAGTTCTGTAACCTCTGAGCCTTTACACGTTTTCCTGTAAAATAGGGATAATGACCTCTTCTTTATTGTTGTTGTTTACTTTTTGTAAGGATTAACTGGAATGATGCACAATTTCTAGCAGAGATCAGGCATATAGTGCATGGAGCTAGTATAATAGTGGTTATTTTGTATGAATACATTCAGTAAAGGTTAAATATGAAGTTAACAGTTTTTTCCCAAAGTACTTTAGCTATTTCAGTTTTGCAGTTGTAGATAAGTATATTAGGCATGTAGGGATATAAATTAGAACCATGAGTTGCTTTTGTTCTACCACTTTTTATCTCTAGACTTGCTTTGCCTTTATAAAATGTTCTCTTTCCCCCAATTACAGGTCCTATGGCAGTGTATACAAAGCTATTCACAAAGAGACCGGTCAGATTGTCGCGATTAAGCAAGTTCCTGTGGAATCAGATCTGCAGGAGATAATCAAAGAAATCTCTATAATGCAGCAATGTGACAGGTAAAGGCATGCGGTGTTACTTTGGAGAGAACATAGTTTTAGATTAGCTGTGATTATTTAGAGTTTAACATGTACAGATGCATTTACTTAGAGATTTTGCAAAAGAGTTTAGGTGGAATCACTATACATGTTCTTTTCAGAAAAAATCTGATGAAAAAATGTGTGTTTTAGTAGCTAGACTTTTATAGTTTCTATTTCTGCATAGATTTTTTTTTTCAGTAAGCCCCTTTCAAAACTAGGAAGAAGAGGCAGAGAGGCAGAAGGTGGTGGTGCTTTTTTTTTCTCCTTCTGATAATGATCTCTTTTGCTTCCTATTGAGAAAATATTTCTGCAGAGATAGCTAAGAAGAGATAATCCAAATATGTTTAGCTCTAGAGACGTTAGAATATCAGACAGATCTAAAAAAGAGAATGCTTTTTTATGTATTACTGTTCCTTCCTACATTTAAAAAAGAATTCTTCAAGCTCAGAGTAGTTAAGAATTTTATTTTTGAGGAACTAAGATTTGTCAAATGCTGTAAGCAGGAAGTCAGGCTACTAGGCGACCGCAGAAAAGCACGTGGTATGCTCTGAAATTCCGTCACAACATGAGTTGGTCACAGTGATGGAGCAGGCTTCCCCGCTACTGTTTAAATTTGAGAGAGAACACAAATTTAGGGGCAACGCCAGCTCTAGGGAGCTGAAAGGAGAATGAGAACGTCTTGCATCGGAGGCTGCATCCATTCTCCTGAAGCTCTTCTGCTCAGCAGATCAGCTTAGTAGCTCCTATTTGTAAAACTTCAGCATTGGGGCAGGTGGGGCTGCCTACGAGGACATTTGCCCAGGAGACCTTAGATCTCACAGGCTTGTGAATGCAGTTATTTCTCTTCTCCCTCCCTCCCTTCCTTTTATTCTTTATACTTTTGTGGTTACTCTCTACCTGACAAAACCCTCATATTTCTTGACCAGGTTGACCAGAGTTAAGTAGAAATTTTCCTTTTCCTCTGCTACAAGATACAGTATGGAAGCTCTTCTAGTCAGCACATGGGACTTTATCACTTCTTTTTTTTTTTTCTTGAAGATTGATTGATTTTAGAGAGAGAGAGTGAGTGAGTGAGCATGAGGGATAGGGACAGAGGGAAAAGAAGAGAGAATCTCAAGCAGAATCCCTGCTGAGCATGGAGCCCGACGTAGGGCCCAATCTCACAACCCCAAGATCACGACCCGAGCTGAAATCAAGAGTCAGATGCTTAACTGACTGAGCTGCCCAGGCACCCCAAGGGACTTTGCCACTTCTGATATGCTACATAAGAGCTGTGTTTCAAACAGAGTATGCAAATATCTCTAAGTAAAGAAGAGTTATTTCCAAGAGCCTAGTCTGTGCTAAGCATGGTAAGGAGTACAGAGAAATACAGGGCAGGATTCTTGTCCTCTGGGAGTTTATAGACAAATTGGACAGGCCAGGCATATATATGTGCAGGAAAATCTGGCCAACGATACAAGATTATATAGGACATGTTCCAGCAGTAAGTAGCTGAGATTACTTGCCTTGTAAAGGCAGTAAATACCGCAGGAATTTAAGGAAGGGAGAGCAGATGTGTAATCTGTACCTTCAGAGACTTACTCATCCATGTCTTCATTAATTGTGTGTGTGTGTGTTTCCTGCTGTCCTTGTCATTGGCATGTTTCCCAAGGGTGAAGGGGCATTTGAAATTCTGAGCATTAATGAAGCTGAATAGGTTTTTAGCATCTCTGGTTATTATGCAACATTATTTAGCCCTGATAACAATCTAACCAATTAAAGCTTGTAGCTCTCAGTGGGCAGATTATTTCATTTTAATAGGATGTTTGACTTTTCTCTGAAGTCTCATTGGGTATTTCTCTTCAAGCTTGAGACCCAGAATTCTGGGTCTGATGCTGAATATTTTTTCTTTTTAAAAATTTTTTAAAGATTATTTATTTTAGAGAGAGAGGGGGAGAGAGCGCAGGTGCACATGAGCAGCGGGGAGGGACAGAGGGACAGGGAGACAAGCAGATTCCCTGCTGAGCCGGGAGCCCGACACAGGGCTTGATCCCAGGACCCTGAGATCGTGACCTGAGCCAAAATCAAGAGCTGGGCGCTTGGGGAGCCTGGGTGGCTCATTTGGTTATGCGTCTGCCTTCGGCTCAGGTCATGATCCCAGGATCCTGGGATCGAGCCCTGCGTCGGGCTCCCTACTCAGCAGAAAGCCTGCTTCTCCCTCTCCCACTCCCCCTGCTTGTGTTCCCTCTCTCGCTGTGTCTCTCTCTGTCAAATAAATAAATAAAATCTTTTACAAAAAGAGCTGGACGCTTAACTGACTGAGCCACCCAGGCGCCCCCTGAATATTTTTTCTTTATAGTAGATTGTAGTGTGATTTTTTTTTCTTATTACAAAGTACACGTGACTTCTTGGAAAAATGCAAATAGAAAGAAAATAAATCACTTTTCCCTTTGGAGAGAGAATCATTGTTAAATGCTATTTTGTGTACATACCCCTTTTTGGAGTTTAACCATGCTTACAATTATGTAACCTGTACTTTTTTTCTTTCTTTCTTTCTTTTTTTTTTTTTGTAAGCAGGATATCTTCCCATGTTATCAAATATTCTTTAATATTTTCCATAGATTCATGGTTATTCCATTATATGTCTAGATCATTATTTCTTAAATAAACTCCTTGTTGTGGGACACTTAGATCATATCTAAGTTTTCATTGTTAAAACGTGCTATGATGGTAACTATTTCTTTTTGAATAGCTGTAGTTCTTTTCCTGGGATGATCTGTAGACCTAGAAATGCAGGTTAAAAGACCCATACATTTTCTCACTTTGGTTATTTATTATTTAGAAAGTATTATTATTATTTATTATTTACATTTTTATCAAGAGGGTGTCTATTTTAACCTTAAATATGAATAGTTGATCTTTTGAGCAGAAAAATTTTCATGTATTAAAGGCTGTTCCACTAATTCGTATTATTGCTTTCTCTTTAGCCCTCATGTAGTCAAATATTATGGCAGTTATTTTAAGAATACAGACTTGTGGATTGTTATGGAGTACTGCGGGGCTGGTTCTGTGTCTGATATCATTCGATTACGAAATAAAACGGTAAGTTTACCTTCTAGAACAATGCGGCTGGGCTAGTCTCTGGCCTTGTATTTGTGGGCACTCTCCTACTTCCATATCCAGAGAGATGACTGTCAGATTTCCCCTTTTCCATCATTCTTTCCCCCTCTGCTTTCTGATGCCTCCTAAAAGTGGTGTTTTTGACACCAGCCTAATCCAGTGATATTTAGCATGTTTTGGGAAAGAAAACAATGACTATCAAATCTTGGTGAAGCAATGAATTTGAAATGTTTAAATTTAGATTTGGTTTTCTCCTCCTACTCAGCATGTTCACAGATTAACTTCTTCTACATTCTATTAAAGAGTAATCTCTGTGAAAGATTATTTGCCCTTACTGTGATCACTGGGATAAAAGCTAGGAGTCAAGGGTTCTAATTCAGGTTCAGTTGCTCATTCAGGAAGTATTTCTAGAATACTGTTCTAAGCCCTAGGGATACAATAGTGAAGAACACAACAATCCTGCTCTTGTGCTCATACATTTTCTAGTAGGGCAGCCAAAAAGCCAACTGATGGTAACTAGAAAAGAAATACTAGATAGTTATAATTTCTTTGAAGGAGCGGACTGGTGGAGAGTGCTCAGTGAGCTACTTGAGAGTGGACAGCTGAGAAAGGCCACTCAGGGAGGTGGCATTTAAAGTAAAACTTGAATGACAAGATGGAGCTATGATTTCTAAAAGAACATTCTAGGTAGGGCAATAAGCAGTGCAAAGATCCTGAGGCTAGAACGGATTTGGCACAAAGAAGGCCACTGTGAGTAGAGGGGAGAGGTGAGAGGGCCTGCAGGAGATGAGGTGAGACAGGTGAGCAGGCCTGCATTCTGTTGGCATTGTTGGCCACGGTAACGAGTTTGCCTTTTATGCCAACTACAGTAGGAATTGCTGCGTTCTAAGCAGGTGAGGAGCCATTTGATGATGTACATTTTAGAAGATAAACTGTGGCTTCTGTGATAGACTATGGCTTCTGTGTGGACTGTGAATGAATAAAAGTAGAAGCTAGAGACACCTTAGCCTTTAGTTTTTCTGTTTGTTTTGTTTTAATGAGAAAAACAGGAATAATACCTATACTGAGTATTTGCAGAATTGTGAAAATTAATTTAAATATGTGAAAGTACTTAGTGAGACACTCTATAAATTACAAGGTGAGAATATTTAAAAACTCAGTTGTATCCTCAAAAAATTAGAAATATAGCTACCCTAGGATCCAGTAATCACACTACTGGGTATTTTCCCAAACAATACAAAAGCTAATTCTAAGGGATATATGCACGTTTGTTTATTGCAGCATTATTTGCAGTAGCCAAATCATGGAAGCAGCCCAACTGTCAATTGGTAGATGAATGGATAAAGATGTGGGGTGTAAATGTATATATACATATACATTTTAAATATTATTCAGTCATAAAAAAGAATGAAATCTTGTCATTTGCAACAATATGGATGGATCTAAAGAGTATAATGCTAAGCAAAATAAGCCAGAGAAAGACAAATATCATATGATTTCATTCATACGTGGAATTTTAGAAACAAGGCAAATGAATAAAGGGGAAAAAAAAAGAGACAAACCAGAAAAACAGACTCTTAACTATAGGGAATAAACGAATGGTTACCAGAGGGGAGGTGGTTGGGGGATGGATGAAATAGGGGATGGGGATTAAGAATACACTTGTAGTGTGCACTGAGTAATAAATGGAATTTTTGAATCACTATATTACACACCTGAAGCTGATATAACACTATATGTTAACTATACTGGGAATACTGGAATTAAAATAATATTTTAAAAATAAAAATTAAACAGTTGTAACTTTTGGATTATCTATATGACTGTATCCTTTTCTTAATTTACATTATTCAGAGTTAGTATGTTTTTCTAATCAAATAGCAAGTTCTTTAGCTAGGAATTATAACCTACTATAAAATATATTTAAAGAAGTCCCAAAGCTTGAATAATTTATTGAATTAAAAATTGGGCTCCAGGGGCATCTGGGTGGCTCAGTTGGTTGAGCATCCAACTCTTAATCTCAGTTTAGGTCTTGATCTCAGGGTTGTGAGTTCAAGCCCTGTGTTGTGCTCTGTGCTGGGCATGGAGCCTACTTAAAAAAAAAAAAAATTTGGGTTCCAGGCCTTCTTGTATGCAGCATTAAGTTATTTTGTTTCAGGTATTTTGAAACAATCCAAAACTAATTTTGATAGTGCTTTTGATGTTTTAATATTAGTTTATTGTATTTATGTAATTTTTAACTATTAAGTGCTGATCTTTAATTATTACACATGAATTTGTAAAGTGTTTTAATTCTGTCTTGTCCAGCATGGTAGTCACTATCTACATGTGGTTATTGAGGACTTTAAAGGTGGCTAGTCTGAATTGAGATGTGCTATAAATATAAAATACCAAATTTTGAAGAATTATTACAAAAAGAAAAACATTAAAAAAACTTTACATTTTTATATATTGATCACATGTTGAAATGATAATATTTTGGATAAATATGGTTAAAATATCAAAATAAATTTTGGGGTGCCTGGCTAGCTCAGTTGGAGGAGCATGCAACTCTTGATCCTGGAGTCATGAGTTCTAGCCCCATGTTGGGTATGGAGATTACTAAAAAAAAAAACTTAAATTAATTTTGCTTTTTTTTTATGTTGGCTACTAGAAAATTAAAAGTTGTACTTATGGCTCACATTATATTTCTATTGGGCAGTGCTCCCTTAACTGATTAGCTTAAATGGTTAGAATAAGGCGTCAGTAAGTCACATGAACTTTGTTCTCTTAGGCCACAGAAGGTACCCAGACTCTAGCTTGCAACCTTGCCAATAGTGTTTGCTTGTACTGCAGTGAGAGCTCTATCATTTGTTAGCACAAATTACTTGTTTGTGCTTCAGCTTCATTTTCTATAAAATGGTGGTGCTAATAGTACTTATTTAATGTGATTTTTATAAGGATTTAATGAGATTACAAAAATAGTGCCTACCGTAGAATAAATGCTTAATAATTAGCTATTTTTAATTTTATTAGCCAAGTGTCTGGCTCATTATTGATACTTATTAACTATTTGTTAATTAATTGGTAGCATAATAGTTATTAAGCCATGTGTATTCTTACATGCCTTATATCATTTGATTTTCATGACATTCTTGAGGAGAGTGGTAGTCCTGTTTTATAGATTGAGAAACTGAGACCAAGAGAAGTTCGAAGGTCACACAGCTAGAATGTAGAGCGAAGGGTAAAAACTAGGTAAAAACTAATCCCGAATACCATGTGTTTTGCACCACAGCATACCCTCTTCTAAATGTGAGTTGTTTGTCAGAAGGGAGACTGAGAATTTGTTGATGGATTGCATTTGTTTAGCACTGGAGTTGGGTCTGCACAAAATCAGCATGGAACTGAGCAGATATTCTATGTCAGTTGGCATTCTTGCTTTCATTTATTCATCAACATTCAACAAATATTTTTCAGGACCTGCTATGTGCCAGGTGGCTTTCTTGGTGCTAGGGATAGTAAATAGTAAACAATAGTAAATAGTAAACAAACCAAAGATATTTTATTTTTTATTTATTTATTTTTAGTAAGTTTGAAGGTGTATGTATTTATCCGAGATAGAGAGAGGGAGAGGGAGAGCACATGTGTGCATTCTTGTGCATGAATTGGGGGAGGGGCAGAGGGAGAGAATTTTCAAGCAGACTCCCTGCTGAGCACGGAGTCTGATGTGGGGCTTGATCTCACGGCTCTGAGATCATGACCCAAGCTGAAACCAAGAGTTGGATGCCCTTACCCAATTTAGCCACCCAGATGCCCCCAAAGACATTTTAAAATGGGGCTTATGTTCCTAATAGGGAAGATAACACATGATAGGTATACAAATAACATGTAATACGTCAGATGGGGATAATACCGTGTTTACCGACAAGGTAGGATAAAGGGGTGGAGAATGACCTAGGACTGGAGGGAATTGGGGAAGCCCTCTCTGACTTTCTGGATGCAGAGCAGTGTAGGCAGAGAGAACCCGAGATGAAAAGGTCCAGAAGTGGAAGTGTGCTTTGAGTGTTTGAGGAAAAGCAGAGGAAGGCTACGAGGCTGAAACAATGAGAAAGGTAAAAACTAGTAGAGCATGAAGGTAGCTGGGAACCAGATCATGTAAGACTAGGGTGGACTGGCTTTAATTTTGAGTGGCTTAGGAAGCCAGTGGAGGGTTTTGAGCAGCTCTGGCTTGCATTTTGAAAGATTCATTATGGCACGCTGCCATGTGGAAAATGCATTGTCCAGGGTCAAGGGGCAGAAGCAGCAAGACCAGTTAGAGAATTATTAGAATAGTTCAGGCAGGACATGCTGGTGGCTTGGACCAGGGTGATTAGTGATTACAGAGGATATATTTGGATATATTTTGAAGATAGGGAAGAGCCAGGGATGACCTCAAGGTTTTTGGCCAGGGTAACTGAAACTGCCTTTCCCTGAGAGAGCAGACTGTGGGAAGAATAGAGTAGGTTGGGTGGGTGGTAAGGAGAGGGGTGGGGTGGTGGTAGAAGTACAGAATTTGGTTTTGATGTGTTCTGCTTATGATGCTTGTTAGGTATTCATTTGGAGATATTGTATAGGCAGGTAACGTGAATCTGGGGAGAGATGGGGCAGGAGATGTAACTTTAGAAGGGGTTAGTGGAGTGATGGTATAAGCTGTCAAATGCTGTCACAGGTTGAATAAGACCTTATATTCTAGGAAGGGAGCTTGGATCTGATTTTTTTTCCCCTTTTTTGAATGTAAACTGATGGAATTTTAATCTGTCATTCTTTTTTTAGTTAACAGAAGATGAGATAGCTACAATATTACAATCAACGCTTAAGGGATTGGAATACCTTCATTTTATGAGGAAAATACACCGAGATATCAAGGCAGGAAATATTTTGCTAAATACGGAAGGACATGCAAAACTAGCAGATTTTGGGGTAGCAGGTCAACTTACAGTAAGTAAAAATATTACTTTTATTGGTAACTTTCAGCCCTGTCTGGAGAAGGAATTCCTTTCATTTTAGTTATTTTTTCAATAAAATACTCGATTTCATTGTATTTGTGAAAAGGTTATAGAAGGTGCCACTAAGTTATGAAAGAGCTAGTAGGTTGTTATAGATCCTTTCCTGGGGTTTAGGTCCCATGGTTTAACTTTGATAAAAATAAAAGCTTAAACAAGAAATGACAGAGTGGAAGTTTAAATTCTTTTCATCATATTTGCAAAAGGAGAAAAATTCAATCCAAACTGCTTTCCTTGAATAAGACATAACACCATCTCAACCAGGTAGCAGTTGGCAGTTACTTTACTGAAAACTCTCTCCTCGTCTGGTTCCAGGATACAGTCTTTTGATTCTCCTCCTACCTCACCAGTGTATGGCAGTGACAAAAACCGTGTTTTCAAAACAGGAAATACAGAATTACCTGATTTTGAAGAATACTTAAGTATATATGATGACATATACATAGAAAAATAGAAACAGTTCTGGACAGATTTGTACTAAAATTTGCAACAGCATTATATATCAAACAGTTTTCTGGGGTGGTAGAAAAAATATTTTTTGTTTGTTTAGGGCCGGTATAGGTAGAGTTTTTTGGTTTTTGTTTGTAAATCTGCCTGGATTATGTTAGGGAGTTTAATAGGTATTGCAGTGGCACAAAAATTGCTTTGATGTTTAAGAAAGAAAATCAGAAACTTACTCCATATTGTGATTACTGGACCTTTCAAAAGATATTGTTGTTAACACATAAAGTGCTTCTAGAGAACGATCTATGCTTGCAACTGTAGTATATAAACGTATATAAATCCATTTGGGGGAACCTGACTGGCTCAGTTAGTAGAGAGTGTGATTCTTGATCTCAGGGTCATGAGTTCAAGCCCCACATTGGGTGTGCAGCCTACTTAAAAATAAATAAGTAAAATAATTAATAAAAAAAAAGAATGTACCCATTTTCCCTTGTATTTGCCAATACTGAATGAGCAATAAATTGTATTTTTAAAATCATTTTTGAAACAATATTTTTACATTTGATTATTGGCCATTTACAATTCTTTTGTAACTTAACTGTTCATCTTAATTTTCCTAATTGTGTTGGACCTTTTAAAAAAAATCTGTTTGCTGAAAAAGATAAACCAAAACTTAAAAAAAAATTATATGTTGAAATTGTTAATCCTTTGTTATGTATGTTGAAACATCTGTTTGTAATTTGCTAGTTATCTTTTTACTTTGATTATGGTTTTTCTTTAAATACTGGAGGTCCCAAATTTTATATAGGGAAATCCACCTCCCTTTTATGTTATGGTTTCAGCCTTCGATGTCACCTTTATTTTTTTTAATTTTTATTTTTTTAAAGATTTTATTTATTTGACAGAGACACAGCGAGAGAGGGAACACAAGCAGGGGGAGAGGGAGAGGGAGAAGCAGGCTTCCCACCGAGCAGGGAGCCTGATGCGGGGCTCGATCCCAGGACCCTGGGATCATGACCTGAGCCGAAGGCAGATGCTTAACGACTGAGCCACCCAGGCGCCCCTCGATGTCACCTTTAAAAGACCTTTTCTGCTCCAACAGTATATATCTGTTCATCTATACTTTTAGTACCTTCTGGATTTCGTTCTTTGTATTTAAATTTTCAACCTATTTGAACTTCCTTTGGTGGAAAGTATAAGTTAGGAAATTAAATACAGAATTTTATAAATGACTAGCCAGATGCCCAGCACTTGTTTTTGTCCTTTGCTTGGTAATTTAGAATGACATTTTAATCATATCTTCAAGCTGTGTGTGTGTATGTGTGTGTATATCTGTGTATGTGTGTGTATCTGTGTGTGTATCTGTGTGTGTATGTGTAGGTTTGTGTGTATCTGTGTGTGTGTGTATGTGTGCACACATATAAATACACATACATAGCCATAGTCTGTTTCTGGATTTAATATTTTTTCTTGTTATGCTACTGTGCTAATATAACTTTGTCATACAGACCAAGCTGGGTTAGTATCCACTCATTACTCTCTGTTTTCAAAAAATTTCTAGATATCCAAATACTCCTTTCTAAATAATGAGTATTTCAAGGATATAATTCTTGAAAACAACTTGGAGTAGCCCCATTTGAAAACTGCAAATTTAAGTTTTGGAGGAAAGGAAATGACTAAGCGATAAGTTAGTTCCTGTGCTAGTTTTTTACATAGGACCGACAAAGTGAGATCAATTTAAAAATATTACTTGTCCTTTGCTCCTGACTGGCACAGCCTAACTGAGGCCACAGGCATTTCAGAAGGAACAGGAGTGATGATGATGGCAAGTCCTGTTGCATATTTAGTTCTGTTTAAAATCCTTCTCTTCCTAAAATACAGGAGCTCTAGAAAGGTTCTCTTTCATTAAGGCCACACTGTTCTGGGGAAGTAGGCAAATAACGTGTGCTAGATTCATATATTTTTCTTTAAGACCCAAACTAAGACTTTCTCTATGTATACATTTTATTTTATAGAATATATGTATATGATAAAAGAGAAATTATATGTGTACATAGACACACACATATATGATTTTTCCTTTTTTAATTTTCGGATTGCACAGGTACTATATATTCATGTAAACCATCAGAGTGTTACAGAAGTATATGGGATGGAAAGTAAAAGTCCTTTGTGATTCTACCTTCTAGATGTAACTGTTATTAATAGTTCAGTGTGTATTGCGATTTTTCTTTTGCTATCCATATAACAACAGTATTTATTATTATTGGTTGCTGTTTTGTTGTATATATATACAACAATATAATTTTGCAACCTAATTTTGCAACCTAATTTTCTCTTTACAGTATGTCTTGTACATTTTTCCATGCCAGGAAAATGTACCTATCTCCTTTTTAAAAAATATTTGGTGGATGGGGCGCCTGGGTGGCTCAGTTGGTCTGACTCTTGATTTCAGCTCAAGTCATGGGATCAGAGTTGTGGGATCGAGCCCCACATTGGGTCTCCTGCTCAGCAGGGAGTCTGCTTGAGATTCTCTCTCTCTCCCTCCCTCTGCCTCTGTCCTCCTCCCTGCCCACCCCCCCCCGGCTTGCGTGTGCAGTCTCTCTCTAAAATAAATAAATCTTTAAAAAAAATATTTGAGAGAGAGCATGTGTGCGAGCAGGGGTGAGGGGGGTGGGGAGGGGGAGAAAGAGAGAAGCAGACTCCCTGCCAAGCAGGGAGCCAGATGCGGGGCTCGATCCCCAGAGCCTGAGATCATGACCTGAGCCAAAATCAAGAGAGCTGTACGCTTAACCAACTGAGCCACCCAGCTGCCCCTAAATAAATCTTTAAAAAATATGGTGGATATTTATTGTATTTAATTTACACCCTTTTGATGGTTATTTGAGTTGTTTCCTTTTTCTTTTCCCTGCCTCTCCTACAAATATTTCTCCAATACTTGTGCATATATCTTAGGGTACCTGCACATAGGATACATTTCTAGAAAAAGATTTGGATCAAAGGATATGGACACTTAAGTTTATAAATATTGCCAAATTGCCCACAAATCTTGTACCAATTTATACTCTAGTAATGCTGTTTCAGTGCCTGACTTTCTAGCACTAGTTTTTTGGGGTTTTTTTTAAGATTTTATTTATTTATTTGACAGAGACACACAGCGAGAGAGGGAACACAAGTAGGGGGAGTGGGAGAGGGAGAAGCAGGCTTCCTGCCGAGCAGGGAGCCCGATGCGGGGCTCGATCCCAGGACCCTGGGATCATGACCTGAGCCGAAGGCAGACGCTTAACGACTGACCCACCCAGGAGCCCCATCTAGCACTAGTTATTATTAACCTTTTAAATTTTTGTCAACTTCATTTTAGTGTTTGTTATTTTTTGTGGGTTTTTTTAATGTGTGCATTTTAAGAATTGAGAATCTTTTATGTTTCTAGGTTATTTGAATTTCTTTTGTGACCTGCTCAATCATGCCTTGAGTATGGTTTTTATATGTATCCCAAGTACCAGATGTTTCTTATTGTTGGAAAAGTCTCTTTTTCTCAATAGTTTTAATGCTTAGGGTTGATCTCTACTCTTTTCTGTTTTAGGATACCATGGCCAAAAGGAACACAGTGATAGGAACACCATTTTGGATGGCTCCAGAAGTGATTCAGGAAATCGGATACAACTGTGTGGCAGACATCTGGTCATTGGGAATAACTGCCATAGAAATGGCTGAGGGAAAGCCGCCATATGCCGATATCCACCCAATGAGGGTAAGGAAACCAGTAGCGTGGTTAGCTCCTGGGCGTCATTAGAAAGTTGGTGACTTATTTGATTTAGGTACCAAACAGTAAATGAATTAACTGTATATAATTGGTAAGTTGTCAGTCTAGACTCCACTAGTGGTAGTCACTAATCAATTCAAGTGTGATCCACCACCTCCATTCCAGAGGTTGTGTATTGATAGCCACCTGACAGGACATAGGTCACAGAAATGCTTGGTTTGGCTTGTGCAGTGTGTGTTTTTTAATAGTTTAGGTGCTCACATTTTTAACATAACATTAACTGGAGCTGAGTGGTGGTCCCCTCCTTTATACAGGTCACCGGCTTTCCACTTTATCAGTCTCCAAGATTCCCTAATCACCAAGTATCCCTTGTCACTCATAACAGTGTTTGCTCTACTGTTTTTCTCATCGTAGTATTAAGAGGAAAGCAAACTGTTTTTCTGAACTCAGGTCACTAACACCCAGCCCGATTTGTTTGTTATCTTTTTCCTGCCTTGCCCTCAGAGGTATTTACATTGGTAAGTTCTGCTTTGTAGATCCCCAGACTCTCTTCATCTGGAGGCTCTGTACTTTGCAGCCTCCATGGATTTCTAGAATAGTAAGGGCCCATAGGTCCAGTCTCCCCCGAAGCTATCAGTGTGGCACCCTAAGGGGTTTGTAAGTTGTACCCACCCCAGACCCCTCATCATAGCACTGTTAAAAGGCCTCGACCCTGCCTTCCTCATTGGCTCCATAGTCCTCCATACCTCCCAACCCAGCTCCTCCTCTTTGATTAATTAGTTCTTCTATTAAAAGATTAACAGTTTTTTAAAAAGTATTTATGTGCTCAAAGATAAGCTCCCCTCTTTTTGGGGGGTGGAAGTGGGGATGGGTGGGAGGATTTACTAGTAGATTTAAAGAATATAATTTAAGCTGCTTATTACAGAGGTGTTTTTTTTTTTTAATTCTGCCTCTTTTATTGGACAGTAAATAATAGTTTTAATTTTTTGAAATAGTAGAATTTAACTGCAATGTGTTTTTGTTTTTGTTTTTGTTTCAAATACGTTAAATTGGCTTGGCCTAGACGTTAATGAATCTCTTGTGATTTGAGGGACTTTCAGGTTTATGATCTTCTTGCAGTTACTGCTCACATCTAGTGGTGAGGGTGACTTTTATGGGGGAGGGAAATTTGACAACTATGTGGTTGAGATGATCTTCAGGCTATTGATGCTCTCAGGTCTTACCTTTTCACTTTGAAAGGTAGTATACTGTGGTTAGGAAAAACCAAAATAAACTTGCCAGATTATTGTGAGATTGAGGAGACAAGAATACATATGAAAGAGGGAGAGAGAGAGAGAACTATATCAATTTCTCTAATTGTCATACTTCCTACTTTGAGACACTTAGACTTTTGTTGGCATTTGGGTGGGCTTATCAGTGGATAGGAGGAAAATATTTTTTTTTAAACCTCAAAGTTATCTCTAATCATATTTTTATTAGTGTATCACTTTTATTTTACCTTCCCCAATTTTTTTTAACTAGGCGATCTTCATGATTCCCACCAACCCTCCCCCCACATTTCGAAAGCCAGAACTATGGTCCGATAACTTCATGGATTTTGTGAAGCAGTGTCTTGTAAAGAGCCCTGAGCAGAGAGCCACAGCCACTCAACTCCTACAGGTATGATTCTCCCCGAGGTGCTGCCTCCCTTGTTTCATTCACATACTGGCCAAAAGGTGCTGCCAACCCACCTCCACAGAGACAGTAAAGAAGTATAAGACATTCCCTGCCTCTAGGGAGCTTTGAATCTGAGTAGAAAAGAGTGTTAAAGCATTGAACAAGATAATAATGCAAGAAAATGGAGGGCTATGTGGGATCAGAGACTGGAAACTGACATTTAGTGAGCCCCTGCTGTGTGCTGGGTGCCATTTAATCATCACAGACGCCCTGGGAAGGATGGGTATTATTTCAGTTTTATAGGTGAAAAAATGGAAGCTTAGAAAGGTTAACTCATTTAGAGTTACTCAGCTGAGAAACAGCAGAGCTGAGACTAGAACCAAGGTCTTCTTGGGTCCAAAGCAGGAGTGCCCACAAGTCTACCCAGTTCTGATGAGGAACTGAGATTAATGGTAGGTGCTCTTGTAGCTCATGATGGGAGGAGGCCTCTTTGGGCTGGCAGTACTAGGACCGCTCTCCTGGAGCAGGTAACCTCAGTGTGTGGGCCTGGAAGGATGGGAGGGGTTTGCAGGCGCTCTGCTCAGTGGTTAGGAGGTTGGATTCAGGAGTCACACTGCCCAGGTTTGAATCCTGGGCTCCCTGTTTACTAGCTTTGTGACCTTGGGCAAGTAACATAACCTCTCTGTTGCTTTAGTTTTCTTATCTGTAAAATGGAGACCAAGTATATGCCTCATATGTTGCGAATATTAAGTGATATAATATGTGTAACTTTAAATAATGTTTCACACATATTAAAAGTAGTATGTTGTGGATTTGACAAATATCTGTGGTTGTTACTAGGCTAGGCCAATGGTTTTCAGCTGTGTCAGACCCAGTGCCCCCCCTTTTTAACCAATATGTATATTTGTAATACTCTTACTGCTCTTCTGGATTGAAATTCTTAGATAATAAAATATTTTTGTGCCCATAATTTAAAAAGAGTATAATGTGATATAATGAAGGCATAAAGATTTATAAAAAAATGTGTGTCAGTATAGAGATAGGCTCCAGCTTGACTCAACTTGCAGACGTAATGAGATAGTTATATACCTGTACCGAGAACCATAATGAGTTTAGAGTAAAAGCAACGAGAACAGAAACCATTCCTTTCAGGCAGTACAAACAACGAATGGGTGGACACTGGAACAAAAGTGATGTTGAATAATAACAGACCAGACTTATTTGTATGTGACAAGAAGAGGGAAATGATCTTAGCGATTTTCCAAGTGGAGAGGAGAGAGAACAAGGAAATATGATATTCTTGCAAATGAGCTGGGTCTTATTTCTAAGTGTATTGACAGATTCTTTTCTTGCCGGGAGGGAGTATTGATGAAGTTTCATGGAAAAGAAGTCTCTTTTGCAATCCCACTACATGCTGAGGCATACTTCCAATCTCTTGAGTACTTACAAAGACCTCAGAGACCATATTCTGTGGTGGGTGCTGGGGAATAGAGAACAGGTTGCAAAGAGAAACACTGGGGGGACAATGTCAGAATACGTTGGGGAGACCCAAAAAGAATTTCGATATGTAACTTCCACAGCATGAATTTCCTATTGTACCACCAACACAGATAACACAAATGTATAGTGGTGTTCATATTAAAAAATTCAAGCATTTTTTTGTAAATGAAATTCCACACTATCCCTGTGTTTCAAGTGTCTTTGCTGATTGATATTTGGGTCTACATCTCTTAAGTATTTGTGACCAGTTTTAGTATTTCTGCAGTAACTACGATTTTCACCAAAATCCTTTTTTTAACTAAATCTGTAGTTGGAAATGCTAGGTAGCACATTGTATAGGAAGAATGAGCAGGATGAGTAAATTATTCAGTGATACTTAAACAATGTCTTTATGACATTTCAGCCTTACCCTCCAAAATCATCCCCTAAATTACTAGACTTTTTGCTTATCTCTTGAAAAAAATTTGGAGTATTATTTCCTAAAGCGTATATATACTCTGCGACATTTGAAAGATGTGCAGAATGTGCCACACAGTCCACTGTTGTGTGGGACTGTTCCACACCTTGAAGGCTTGCTGGTGTCCCTGCTTCCCCTCACATTCCATCTGTGTTCTCCAAACACGGTGGCAACTACAAGCTCCCGGCATGTTTAGAAAACTTCCTCTAGGGGGTGGTACCACCCTGTTGAGAATCTCTATATTTGGCAGAGAGGAACAGAGGAGACTTTTGCAGCCAGGCTGAAAAAGATGGGCAAAGCCTGAATGTGCATCTGGTCAGAGTTACGAAGTGAATGTGGTTTCACAACTCTCACCCAAAACAGAGAGAGAAAGATGAGGGTCGTTGACTGAGCAGATGTTATTGAGTACCTGTGGTGTGCCAGGCACTGTGTGGGTACTGATGCCATCGAAACTGTCTCCAGTGTTGTCTGCTTTCTCATTTAAGCACCCATTTGTCAAGAGTGCCAAGGGAGTGTCCATACTGCGTGACTTAATTAACGAGGCCATGGATGTGAAGCTGAAACGCCAGGAAGCCCAGCAGCGGGAGGTGGACCAGGATGACGAGGAGAATTCTGTGAGTGGCAGGCCTTGCTGTGGGCCTCAGGCGTTCATGCGTGTTCTGTCGTGATTGCCAGGTCAGGTGACATGAGTGGGGGTGACAGAGCGGCCTGGAGCCATCATGGCCGCCGGCCCCAGGCACTGTTGAGGGCTTGCTGAGGCTGTGCTTGTTCTCACCGTGCTTCCCAAGACACCTTCAAATTTTACTCTTTGGCCCTTCAAATTAACTTTTTTCTCAGTTTTTTTTTTTTTTCGGAAAAGTGAACGCTCAGGTCTGGGACTTGGTTTTTCATGCCCTTTTGGGGAATCAAGGATTCATACTAAAATGTAGATTTTACAAACTCACAGACTCCCTCACAAGCCTGAGATTCCAAGGGTGTGCACCTCAGCTCCTTAGATCTATGTGTAAAACTTTTTTAAAAAATATTTATTTGGGGCACCTGGGTGGCTCATTCCTTAAGCATCTGCCTTTGGCTCAGGTCATGATCTTGGGGTCCTGGGATCAAGCCCCGCATCGGGCTCCCTGCTCAGTGGGAAGCCTGCTTCACCCTCTCCCACTCCCCCTGCTTGCGTTCCCTCTCTCACCGTGTCTCTCTGTCAGATAAATAAATAAAATCTTAAAAAATATATATTTAAGTAATCTCTGCACCCAGCGTGGGGCTCAAACTCACGACTCCAAGATCAAGAGTCACGGAATCCTCTGACTGAGCCGGTCAGGTGCCCCTCTGTTGTAAAACTCTTACGAAGGAGAGAGGAAGGGGAAAGGGAGAGGGTCCTCCCGGGTTAGATATGCTGCTCTTGCCCAGCTGACTTTATGATCTTCTTTGGTTAAGTAAGAGTGCTGTCAGTTCTAAGGGGTGTGGGTCTAGAATCCCAGTCAGCGTCAAATCCAGAAATGCTTGCACCGAGGTGAATAATAGTAATTCTAAAGACTCAAACCTTTCGATCTAGTCAGGCCCGATTTGAGGTTTTGTCCTCTCACAGGAGGAGGATGAGATGGACTCCGGCACGATGGTTCGAGCAGCAGGTGATGAGATGGGCACCGTCCGGGTAGCCAGCGCCGTGAGTGATGGAGCCAGCACTATGATCGAGCACGGGGACACGTTGCCGTCACAGCTGGGCACCATGGTGATCAACGCAGAGGATGAGGAAGAGGAAGGGACCATGAAAAGTAAGGCTCTGCTTAAATATACTCCCTCCTCTGACAACCCCTACACATTCCAGAGAAAACAGGCTCTTATGGTCTACACGGGCTCAGGCTGGAGTCATTTTCTGGTTGCGCAGGGGACTGGGGATGCGGGAGGGGAGAGCTGGCCTGAGGTGGCAGAGGCAAGAAAGCGTCAGCAGTGAGGAAGGACCTTCTTTTGAACAAGAACAGCCACCTCTCATCGAATGTTGTCATTTTCTCCTCCTTATATTTGATCCATGGACACAAGCACGTGTATTGTTTTGATGCATAATTCAGAGTGTGATGAGATTCTAAGCTATTTATTGTAGATATCTTAAGTCTGTTTTCTGTTTTCTGATAGTCAATAGTCAGGATGACTGTACAGCTTTGAAAGTCCTATCAAGTCCCTTCAGGTTGAATCCTGCTCATCCTTTTTGGCCTGTGGCAGTGGCCTGACACTGGGGCTCAGCTCCCATCTCAGGCTGCTGTCCTCTCCTCTGATCTTCTGTTGTTTCCCTTCCCTTACTCTGCATCACAGACCAACTCACAGAGGAAAGGAATTTGGGATACAAACGGTAATAATTGAGTTCTGGATGCATGTTTTAGCCTGAGCTTTGCATAGGCTTAAGTCTTCATGTTCTTTTCATTATCTTAACCACCCCCTTTTTAAAGTTTAAAGGTCCTTCCTTTATTTATTTTTTTTTCAAGATTTTATTTATTTATTTGACAGAGAGAGACACAGTGAGAGAGGGAACACAAGCAGGGGGAGTAGGAGAGGGAGAAGCAGGCTTCCCGCTGAGCAGGGAGCCCGACACGGGGCTCGATCCCAGGACCCTGGGACCATGACCTGAGCCGAAGGCAGACGCTTAACGACTGAGCCACCCAGGCGCCCCTAAAGGTCCTTCCTTTAAAACCAGGGAGCAGCAAACTATGGTTCACGGGCCAGATCCGCCTGCCACCTGGTTTTGGCAATAAAGTTTTATCGGAACATAGCCATGTCCATTCATTTGCATATTGTCTGTGACTGCTTTTGTGTCACAGCGGCAGAGTGAGCGGTTGTGACAGAGACCGTATGGCCCCCAAAGCCTGAAATGTTTGTTCTCTGGTTCTTTACAGACAGAAAAAGTTCTCTAACCCCTGCTCTAGACCCTCTGCTTTGTGATGAATTCATTCCATGAATTTTTCTTCAGGGCTGTATCCCAGGGACTTTGCCAGGTGCGGAAGAAACAGTCCTTGCCGCAGAGGAACCCACTGTCTTGTGTGGTGGACAGACCATTAATTACACTTCAGTGTATGAAACAAGTTCTAAAATAGGGTTAATCTAGGGGCTTGTCAAAGCAGAGTGGAAGAGTATTCAGTCCGGATTGGGGATTACTGAAGAATGCCTGGAGAAAAAGGGAGGAAGGTTGGCAGTGAGTAGGGCTGGTAGAGGTTTCAGCAGAGGGAGCAGCACACCCAGAGTCCCAGCGGCAAGGGAAGGGTAGATCAGTGCGGGGGGCCTGCAGCCGGTTTCTCTTGACTGGAGCGAGCAGATCTGGCTGTGGGCCTCAGGCAGCCCCCTCTGCTTTTCACCTTTCAGGTCTGTGTATTTATAATCAACTCTTTGTTTATGAAGAGAAAAGGTTTTTTTTTTCTTTGGGGGCCAAGGCTCATCATCTGTGTTTGGATTCTGGTCAGAAGGATACAGGTGGTGGAAGAGTAGTAGTACTGTTGATGGATGTGTAAATTGGTATAACTTTTCTGGAATGCAGTATGCATCAAGAGTTTCAAAGGTTCAGACCTTTGACCCGGTACATTCCACTTCTAGGAATCAGGTCCAAGAAAATAATCGAAGATCGAGACAAATTATATTCAAGAATTTTTCCAAATATGTTACTTAAAATTATAAAAAAAAAATAAATCTGGATTAATTTAAATGTTTAGTAGCAGATGGTTGATCTAATAAATTATGATACATCCATAAGAGGGACTATTATACCATATAAAAATATTAAAAGTCCTGTTTTGGGGGAATACTTAGTGAGTTAGGGAAATATTTATGATACGTTGTTAAGTGAAAAAAGGAAGCAAAATTATAGCGTGACTCTCGTTTTATAAAAGAAAATAAATTAACATACGTTAATGTGTACATAGAAAAAAGACTGAAAAAAAAAACCCAAAAAGGCTGGAGGTAAATAAATCAGTTATTAAAAGTAGTTATTGGTAGTAGGATTATCTATTTTTTAAAGATTTTATTTATTAACTTCACAGAGAGCGTGCAAGCATGGGGGGGCCCTAAAAATGGATATTTATAAGAGTTTATAGAAACATTGTCACCCTGTTAGTCCCTTCAAATTCTTATCTCATTCATTGTTCTTAGGTATGTTTCATCCCCTACACTCCAGATTGGAGCACCCTAGGGTGTTATGTAAATTATCAAGTGAATGCTATGTACTAAATTTAGTTTTTTTTTTTATTTTTAAGTAGCCAGTGTGATTTGTTAGGAAGGTTTGTTTTGCAGTAAGGAGAGGTGCTGACCTCTGTCTTTTCATTGACTCTGAGTGCTTTATCTTCTACTAGTTTTAAGGGCTTTAATCATACAGACGATTATAAGTACTGCATAGTGTAACGAGGCCAGCCCATTAACATCTGTTGTGCATGCTCATGTTATGGAAAATCTGCCCTTTTTTTATTTAAAGAATTAATTTTGTTGCAAATGTAATTTTCCAAATGTATTTAAAGTGCTAATTAATTCAGTGGGTTGTTCAGTTTCTGAGCTTGGATAGTTTAACGTGTCTAATGAGAAACATGCATCTTTTATTATAGTCATGATGAAAAACTGTTTTAAAACCTCAGCAATCACAGCTGAGTAACATTAAATAAACTCAGTTCACCAATCATCTGCTAGAGGTCTGGTAATTCAGTTTTTGGGCCACAGGTTTGACAGATTTGCCATTTATTTTGAGATCTTTACCACTAACTGTTGTAGATGTTATTTAAATTTTTCATCATGGGAAATTAAAATGTACATAACTGCACAGAATAATATCATGAGTGACCCCAGTGGACCTGTCACCCAGTTTCAAACCTAATTAAATCACTGCCCATCATATTTCAGCCTCCCCCAAAGAAAATAAACTCAATTAATTTAAAGCAAATCTCACACATCATACCATTTCTTCAGAATTAGTTTTTTTGTTTGTTTGGTTTTTGTTTTTTTTAAAGATTTTATTTATTTATTTGACAGGGAGAAAGAGCAAGAGAGGGAACACAAGCAGGGGGAGTGGGAGAGGGAGAAGCAAGCTTCCCGCCAAGCAGGGAGCCCGACGCGGGGCTTGATCCCAGGACCCTGGGATCATGACCTGAGCCTAAGGCAGACGCTTAGCGACTGAGCCACCCAGGCGCCCTATTTCTTCAGAATTAGTTTTAAACATTTAAAAGAGACTATTTGGCCAAGTCTGGGTCAGCTGCAGTTCTCCGTGTTGTCTTGGAGAAGTCACTTTCCTTGTATGAGCCTCCATGCCTTAATCAGTAAAATTAAAGAATTATTAAACTTATGTACTGTCCTTTTCCCCTACAGCTCAAATAGTTCACACGTCTATAAAGATTGTATAACTCATGACTACTAGAGAACTGAAGTTTCTAGAAGTTGAAACTTGTGAAAATAAATAGGCTTTCATCTAGTGTCTTCTTTGACTTTCTGTGAAATGTTTAATCCTCGAAAATTAAAATTATAACTGTTACCTTCAATAAACTCAACAAAAAAGACCCATCCCTATAGTTGTTTGCATTAGTTTCAGAGAACCTAATTTTAGTTTCTAATTTTAAAGAAACTGTAATAAGAATATTGACTCACATAATTTGTGTAGGACATCTGGGTCAGAAACTTTTCTGAAATTTTTGATAATGCTTTCTGATGACTGACTATATTTTACAGATCTTTTTAAAAGTTTGTTTCTTGTATTTGAAAAGTTATATATTTCATTTGCTCTTTTACTGTATTAAAAATTATTATACCAACAGTATTGTAGCCATATGAATGCACTGTTAAAAAAAAGGAAGTAGTTTACCCTCTCACTCCAATAAAGAATGCCTGTTTTTGACCATGTGCCTGTATGGCTCCTGTTCAGTAATAATTTGCCTAGATATTCTGTTTTCTGATTATTTTCCACTTAATAAGTGTATGCATTTTCCATGTTGCTGCAAAGTCCGTTTTTATATTTGTCACACTTAACAGTGTTTTTTAATCATTTATCTGTTGCTAGACATTTTGGTTGTTCCTAATTTTTCACTATTATAAATAAATTTGCAGGGAACAGCTTACATATAAATGTTGCTTCTTTTTAGTGTTTCTTAGGAAAAGTTTTCAGAAGTATTTGAATAGTTTCATGTGTATTTGTCATATTGTGCTTATCCTCCGAAGTTTGTACCACTTTACATTCCACGAGGGTAATAGCAGCTATCAGAGCCCTTGATTTCTTCCTTATATCCATCTCTCCTTTTTATTTCCCATGTTTTAAATCTCTGTGCCACTTTCTAGGTGTTTTCTCTGTATTTATCTTCTATCATTCCTTTTTTAGCCATATCAAATCAATGATTTGACCCAGACACTGAGTTTATTTCTTTTTTTTTAAGATTTTATTTATTTATTTAAGAGAGAGAAGGAAAGATAGAGAGTACAAGCTGAGAGAAGAGGGAGAAGCAGGCTCCCAGCTGAGCAAGGAACCCGACGTGGGGCTCCATCCCAGGACCCTGGGATCATGACCTGAGGTGAAGGCAGATGCTTAACGACCGAGCCACTCAGGTGCCCCAGACACTGAATTTATTTCTGTGGATACATTTTTTGCTTCCTAGTTTGTTTGTTTTTTAAGATTTTATTTATTTGCGAGAGAGAGTGAGCGAGTGCACATGCAAGCATGAGCAGAGGAGAGGCAGAGGGAGAAGCAGACTCCCCACTGAGCAGTCAGTTAAGCTGAAGGCAGACGCTTAGCTGACTGAGCCACCCAGGTGCCCTGCTTCCTGGA